AAATCTACAAGATCTACATATCGAATGTGGCTGCCGACCGTGGGTGACTATTGATAACGTGCTCCGTATTTAAATATTGAATTCGGCATTAAAATTGTAAAATAATTGTTAGTGTTGATGTGAGGCTTTAGTAAGGACTGCAAAAAACTCTGCAAATGTGAGGTGACACAGGGAAAACTCTCATAACCGGGCACTAGTTTTGTCCATTTATTAGAGGTGCAGGAAAAAAAAACAACATAAATCGTAAATATGTATAACATCTATTTCGTTAAAAACATGCAGAAAAGCTATAGAAAAAATGTAGGTAAATGAACTTTAATTATTTATTTACAAACTTTAAGATACTAGTCTGATGCATATTTATTGCTTTTTGCTTTAACAACCTTGACTGAAAATGATCTTCTAAATTTTTAAAGTGTTGAAATGCAATTTAGTCCTCTTCAGCAAAAACTTTTAGATCAGTAATTATTTTTAAGGCTTCATTATAGCTGTTAATTATGCTAGGTTCCCCACTATCATATTCTTGATCGTTCTTCCGGTTCAGGTTCATTCGTGTTTTCAATTGCATCTTCAATGTTTAAACTAGTCACCTCAGTCGCTGTAATATTGTCAATTCCGACATAGTTTCGAAGAGTTTCTTGCGTTATGTTCATTTCTCTACACATCGTTCCATTTCAAGTGTCCTAGATATTAAGATATTACTTTCTGGATTCCATTCCATTCATGTAGAAAAATCATTATTTTTTTGAAAACCACCTTTGTTGAAATAATTTTGTATGGTTTCGGACGAAACTCTATTCCAGACTGAACTAATAAAATAAAGTGCTTCCAAAATATTTGATAAAATGCGCTTCAGTATGAGTCCACGATAATAGAATTTATGTTTGATGATGTATGATACCTCGCAGGAGTGCGATACTGCGTTATCCAAGAATAATAAAATTTTTCGCTTTTGTAGAGCCATTTTCTCTCAAATTGTAACAACTATTCATTTATAAGGTCTCTGTTAAATTTCCATATTGCCGGTAAATTTTTAATTGCTACATTTTTAAATGCCTTAGGTCGAGCAGCTTTTCCAGTCACCCAATCATCCAATTTCAAGCAAGTGTTTTGCTAGATAAGACTCGGAAGAAAAGGCCAGTCTCATCGGCATTGTAAACATCGTGTAACTGGTATCCGATGAGTAGTGTGGACAACTTTTCTTTAAACTGAATTTCGTCTTCTTGACTCACATCTGCTGATTCTCCGGAGATACACGTAAAACTTATCGCATATCCCTTGCGCCATTCATCCATTGGAAGCTTTAAAATTTCGCACTTAAGTTTTTCGGCTATTTCTTCTTCACTAAGTGCTCCGATATTGGAATGTTTTGACCTCGCAACCGAGAAAACCAATCAAAACCCCCATTTGTCAATTTGAAGTCCCTCAGTTTTTCCAAAATTGATCAATATTGCTTCCCGACATCCACTGTACGCGAATGCTGTCCCTATTTATCACAATTTCCGCCGCTTGAGTTTTCCCGATTTTAAATTTTTCTGCGAGCTTCCGCACTGACAAAGTTCCCTTTTCCGAAACGTTAACAATTGAATAACAAAAAGGTAATTCTGCTATAGGATTAGGAAAAAGATAATTCCCAGATGTTTTAGCATTGCGTTGTCTTGTTATTGGAGGTTCACGTCCGTTTAAGAGAGGTAATTTTTATTTCAAGTCAGGACAGTGTTGTCCGCGTCCGGTTAAAGGAGTTTGTTTTATAGGTAAAAGGGTAGGCAAATATTTCGTTCCAAAAACATGTCCTTTTAAAGAGGAGTGTCCGCCTAATAGAGGTGCCTGTATTGAGAGGTTTCACAGTATTACGATTCGTCCGGTGTAATTGAGTTGTCCACTTGAACTCAAAATGGGCCCGCCCACCTGAAGTACTGCGGCTAGAATGACATGGAGAAAATTTGAAGAGAAGATTTCTGAAGTCAAAAAATAATGGATACTTGCAACAGTATCGAAAATCTCACATCTATTATGAAAAGAAACTCTGAAGCTATAAATAAGCTTCAGTTTAATTTCGACATCCTCTAGCAGCAGTCTAAGCGCAACTGCTTACGCATATGTGGTTTAGAAGAAAATAGAGATGAAAATCTGCTCGAAACTGTTGCTGACCTTGTTGCCAACGTATAAAAATTTCATGTTCCGCAGCGGATATTGACTTCGTATTTCGAGTGTGCAAGAGTGATCAGGTAAAGCCTCGTACAGTTTTAGCTCACTTCGTATCAAATCATAATAGAAATGCAGTGTGTGCTGCCAGAAAACGGCTGAAAGGCACCGGTTATGTAATATATGAAGATCTTATTACGACAAGATATGAGTTAAACGAAGGTCTGGTCGCTTGGAAGTAAAATTTATTTTATCGATAACACTTGGAAGAAAAGAACCGCTGAGTCTGAGGAAAATTTAATCAAGTAATGATCGCGACTATATTGTCCGATAGGACTAGAATGAAACTTTATTGTGAATATTTTTTCTTCTTTTTTACTACCTTATGTTTTATTTTCAACGCACAATTTTTCGTGAATATGGGTTCGTAAATAGGTAATGGGAGTAATGAGATCGGGTATTTTGTTTATTTTTTAATCAGAATGTCGATGTTAGATTTTTGTTTTCGCTAGGAGCGTGTTGTCATCGTATCGGATATGGTGGATGGCACCAACGGACTCAGTTTCAATATACGTTCGTTAATGTCATCATTTACTACATTTGCCGATTTTGGGTCCAAGGAACAATTGGATATTGTGGAGCTCTCTGAGATGTGGATATTTCTAATCATGTCATTAATATATTGGGGTACATTTTGTTCAGAAATGATCGCTACATTCGTGGTGGTGGCTTCGCATTTTATGTTAAAATGATTTTTAAGCTCAAGTTGTTGGACACACCACCGGCTCAAAGTGGTGTTGAGCAGATATGGGTGACTTTCAGGCTAAAATGTAAAAATATGTCTTTATCTATTTAAAGCTCCCTAGATGACCTAGAGAGTACCTTAATTGAGGTTCGATCATGCAATTTTTTGTGGGAATCAATCTTCTTAATAAAAATAATGCGTATACTCTTTTTTCAAAGTTTCTTGATAAATTTGGATCATCGCTATTAACAGAGCCCACAAGGCTGACTAGTAACGCACTGATTGACCTTATTTTAATAACAATATACATGGGCAATGTATCAGATCATGACTTTGTGTCATGTAGTTTACAAGTGGTTAAACCTTGTAATCAATCAAAATTTCGTACTTATCGTGATTACAGCTCCTTTAACTATCAGAACTTTTTAACTGACCTTTATTATGTAAATTGGGATTTATTTGATCTACGATTACGCGACTGTAGGTGATACGCTAAATTTTCTTAATATTAATGTGGATACAATTTTCAATAAGAGATTACTAGGGAGGAATACGGAAGTCTACGGAATTTCGTGACCCAGTCTATTCGTAATGAAAAGAGAGTTTATTTAAACTACAAATTTAAACAAGATCCAAGAGGTTTCTGGCAAACACCTTAATGTTAATTCTAACCCAGCTCTACGACTGATGGTTTCTGTACATCTGAATCATTTAATAATTCTTTCATCGACAGTGTTCCAGAAGTGCACGATATTATCAATGAATGCTATGACAGCAGACAATTTAAACAATTTAAAAATAAATTTTCTTTTTCTGAAGTGAATGAACAGACAGTGGAGAAGGTCGTTAGTCAGATAAAAACTAATGCAAGTGTTGTTGACGGATATGATATTAAACTTATTTCTCTCATTCTTCCCCACTTCACACCTCATCTAACTTTTCTTATTAATAAATGTATTGTTTTTTCAAAAATCTCACGTTGTGCCAGTAGCTAAGGTTCCCAATCCAACTACTCTCTCTGGGCCAATTAGCATATTGTGTTCGTTGTTCAAAGTATTAGAGTGCGTCATATATGAACAACTAAATGAGTACTTGCTCATAAATCGTATTTTACCCCCCACTCAATCAGGTTTTCGTTCGGGCCATAGTACCGTTACGGCTCTTTCGTGTGTGTCGGATGACTTGCTGAATCAACAGGACATTGGCAAAAATACGTGTTTTGTACTCTTTTCAGCAAGGCGTTCGATACGCTAGATCACAGTATACTTCTCAAAAAACTTGAGTATTTCGGACTCTAGCCACTCTAGTACATAAAATTAAAAGCACTGCGGAACCCTCTTATCTATTTAACAAATTCATTAAAAGGGTCCAACATCCACCAGCGTGTTACACGGCACCTTGAGTTGTACCATATTCGTTTCAAAGGTCTTTCGCTTATAACGCTATTAAAGTTTATAATGTCTGATGGTTAAATTATTATTCTTATGTTTTCTTAAGGGTGGTTAGATGAGGAGCTATGCTCGATCCCACCACCAAGTGTCTCTATTTGTTGTATAACGTATCCTTTCAGTACCAATAAAGACATTTGGAATTGAATTGAATGTAATTAATTTTTAATATAATTTTTACTTTGCTTGTGTTATTTTTCTTCTACATTTTTTTCCCTTCTTTTTTAATTCTGTGTTATTATTATTATTATTATTATTATGAATATGATTATTATTATTATTATTCTTGTTGTTGTTATTATTATTAATTAACTTAATTAAAATTGAATGTAATTAATTTTTAATATAATTTTTACTTTGCTTGTGTTATTTTTCTTCTAATTTTTTTTCTCTTCTTTTTTAATTTTAAGTTTACATCATAGCCTATTATTATTATTATTATTATTATTATTATTTAATTCAATTAAAATTCGATTCAGAGTTACACCAACCTATACACGGATGTTGTTTTAAAACCTGAAAATAATTATACCAATGTTATTTTAAGACCACCTGACTTAATTTTTTCATATTGTTTTTTTTTGTTCGGATTTCGCCGTTATTATACTCGAAAATTTTCCTAATTTCTTTCCGGGGCGTTTTTTAAAATATTCCAATTTCAGGAGCTACGAGAGAAATCGGAACTGCCCTAACAAGGATTTGTTTGAGACACAAGGCAGTGGAGAACAGAATGAAGCACTTTACGGGGTGAGTGACTTTAAACTTTAAGTGCCTCTGGCAAATATTAACTAACCAGTTATTTATAAATTAATTAACAATATAACTTTGATATATTATGCTTTTTTTGTCACACCTGGTTTAAATAAGTGCATATTAAATCTGCACATTAAACCCTACAACTTTTCAATTAAACTCCTTTATTCTAATATAAAAAATAAAAAAGATTAATTTATTTTAAAATTTAATTAATAATTGATTTGATAGTTTTATTTGTTGTTATGCAATAATTAATTAATAATTAGGGATTTAATTAATTAAATACATATTATTTTAGTTTGAAATAAATAATTTGCAACTAATTACAAATTCAATAATTAATCGGGTTATTCATTGTTGCGTATAATGATGTGACGCTTGAGAATAAATTGTAGTAATTTTGTACTAAAGAGACTTAATGTTAATTATGTCTTAAAATGGCGCAGAATTGATATTAGTTGATAAAAAATTATTAATTATATATTATCCGTTCCAGGGTGATCATGGAATGCCTCATCATCCCTCTACAAGAAAAACTTGAGGAGTGGAGGAGGACGGTGCTGAATTTGGACAAGGAACATGCTCGTGGTAAGTCGATCGACACAGGACACGCCTCCCATTGACCAACACTCGTTGTCTTCTGGGCGTGTCCGAACCACGACCAACAATTAAAACGGCGTCTTTTGTACTACACGCAGATTATAAACGCGCGAGGGCGGAACTGAAGAAACGCTCGACTGACACCCTGCGGCTTCAAAAGAAGATGCGCAAGGGGGCGGGCGGCGACGTTCAAAAACGTTTCGAGTGCGGTCTCCAGGACGTGACGGAGAGGCGGCAACTGCTTGAGGAGACGGAGAAACACGCGGTAAGGGCGGCCCTGATCGAGGAGCGGGGCCGGTTCTGCGCCTTCGTCGGACTATTGAAGCCGGTCGTCGACGAGGAAGTGGCGATGATGTCGGAGATGTCCCATCTGCAGGAAGCGGTCCAGCAGTTGGAGAAGCACGCGGGCGATCCGACAACATTGCCACCCGCATCCGAACAGGTGATCGCCGACCTGAAGAGTTCGGACAGCGGATGGTCGTTTCAGACGCCGCCGTCGTCGCCGTCGAGCCTCGGCTCCCGGAAGTCGTCCATGTGCTCGATCAGCTCGCTGAACAGCTCGTCGTCGAGTAGCTCGAAGAGTCACTCGCCGAGCCATCCCCACTGGCAAAGGTCGCTGTCCCAGGTGCGAATTTAGTTTTTGTTTCTCCTTTTATAGTAGTAGTATTAGTGAAATTGTTTATTTATTTTCATTTTTTCTAATTTTGTTTGATTATATCTTTATAGTTTTTAATTTTCTTTTTTTCTCTGGTGTTCGCTTTCTATTCGTAGATAGTTCCTTTTTTTATAAATTTGGTTTATTTTTCTTTTTTTTTTTTTTTCGTTTGTTTCATTTGCGTAGCCTGTGGGCCGGTTATGTGGCCCCGCGCGCGTTTTGTCGGTGTCTAGCCGGGACTCTGGGTTCACCTCGCAAGACACTCTGTATCCCAGACCGCCTTCGTCTATCAGCATCAGCCAGGTAAGAACGACAACACGGGCCGCAGAACTAACTTCCTACCCATGGTCTCGAGCACACCTCACGCCGAGCGATAAGCCCATCTGGTTTGTTATTCGAAAACTATGTTTATGTAAGGCGGTGGTCATTTGCATCACGTTAGGAATAAGATTTCAAGGTGCCGTAATCAATTTAAACTGTTTTTTTAAAAAAATGGTATGTCTGCTTTTTCAAATTTTAATATTGCTTAGAAATTGCAACTTCCTCTTAGAAAACGTTGAAGACCGACAGTCAGCAAGTAACGGCGTCTCCATGACGGGGGGAATTACTGCTCGCCGTTCTGACTTTTCTTTTTTGGTGCGCAGGTCTCGAACATGTCCGAACACATTGGTCACACTGGAGGCGGCGGCGGCGGTAGTAGCTCGAGCACGCCTTGCACGCCGTTTCCCGCGGCCACCGTCCCCGTCGCCAATACCGCGACGTGGCCTAATCTGCAGGAAACGATGCAGTTCGAGCGGGCGGCGTCCGCCATTATTGGCGACCGACCCCACACCATATCGTCGGCGTACGAAAAAGGTCACTCGAGGCCCCCGCTGACTGTCCACACGTTCCAGGCCCCTGATCAGAGTCTGTCGCAGCCTGCGAGTCCCGTCGCGACGGACGCGGCACCCAAGAGTCCGGCCCTTTCGGCGAAGTCGCTGTCTAAACCGCCTCTGCCTACGGTATGCCATGCCCCATAGTTTGTTGCACGGGGTAGTTTTGCTGCATACCAACACCGCTGAATTAATTTGAACAAACAAAAGTACCCCCACACGGACCTACAACAATTTTAAATAAACGGATGGTGTATCTGTTTGATACGCGACATGCAGCCTTAGCAAAAGGCTCCGATCTAACGAGAGGCGACCGTAAGCGTTGACACACCTTTAAAAGAAAGGTGGAGAGAAGGGGGGGTGTCCATTTTTCGTGACCTTGCTTTCCACTCGATCTCTTTATTTGACGTTTATACCCGTTATAGATTGAAAGAAATTTGTTTGTCACCTGATAAATAGGTTGATAGGCTAGTACGTAGATACTTTTCAACGACGTATCTCTTTTTGTCGTTATTATTTTATTTGTTCATTTTAATATAACGAAATTGATTTTTAAAAATGAATGGTGGTGCATTTTATATCCAGATTGTCCAGTATTCGAGAATATATCACAATTTTAAGTCGTCTACATTAATAAATACAAATCACACATAATTGGAACGATGATATGTAAGTGGCATGAAATTTTGTTTTTTCTATTTTTATTTTATTTCTATTTCTAACATTAATTAGTATCACCAGAAAACAGAAGACATATATATTTTTTCATGGCATAAAATTTGGAACTGAGTTTATGTTGGTACTAATGGCAGAAACACACTCAGTACCTTTTTAAATCACTAGTGCTGATTTTTCCGATCTTGCAATGCATATTATACTGAGGAGCAGAGATACGCGACAATAATACCATCAACCAACAAAGTAACAATGTTGAAAATAGTTCAAAGAAAGAAAACAGTAATATTTAACTATTACTTAATTGAAAAATATTTCTTAAAATCCATGTTTATTACAAATGACCCCGCGAGAAATGCGGTTTTAAGTGGTTGCTTATTGCGTTGTACAATATATTGTTCTAAAAAAATTACGTTCTTACCGATTAGTATCTTTAGGGAAAGAGAGGAAACTTATATACATGTTAGTTATTGTTCGGCGGTAAAAACTATGTAACACCGCGCGCGTCCCAACAAATGACCTCCTTCTCTCTTTTTCGGCAGCGTTGCTCTTCGCTCGAGCGACCATCGGCTCCGCCCGGAGGCGTGCCCGCCAAATCAATCATCGGGATGCAGGGGGTGAGGGTATTGCCGCCTGGCGCGACCGAACAGTTGGCGCTGCGCAAGAACCCTCCCTCCGCGTTGCCTGCCCACTTGTCGAAGGCGCAGCAGCAGCAGCAGCAACAGCCGACGTATGTCAACATGCACGAGCTGGCGAGTATGGCCGCGCAGAAGGAGGCGTTCCCGCCTCCGCCCGCCGACTTCGTCAGTCCTCCCGAAAAGGTGAGGCCATCAACATTACATCGTCATCGGGTTCACATAATATTTTTTTGCCTTTCCGGCAGCCGGAGGGCGAGAAGGAAAGCAGCACCAGCGAGAGTTCACTGGAGTCGTCTAGTGGCTATGGGAGCCAGACCGCGTTCAATATGGACGACCAGGCACATGTTGATGGTGAGTCTCTTTTTTTTTTGTTACCCAGTTTGGCACGCATGGGTTTTTTAACAAGTGTTTTGACGTCAATTTAACAAGTTAATTATAGAAATAAAAAAACTTTAAACACTCACGGCATGAAAAACGGAGCATTTTATACATTAAAAAAGTTAAAGTTTCGTGAAATTTTATTGTTCTAATAACTCACCCACAAACAAAACAACATATATTTAGTAATTTTTAACCACACCCAATCGTATACAAGATAGGCAAAACTTTTGTTACAACAATATGAAAAAAGCACATTGATAGATTGTGCCAATGTGATCTTTAAATTAATGACACTTCAAGCGTATTGCTAACAAAAACTGAAATGATGGGTGTTGCCAACACGTGCATTGTTATTGGGATGCCTAAAACTGTAATGGGAAAGTGCTCCGTTTTTCGTACCGGTGAGCTTACATTTTTCGGTGTGTTGTTCATCAGAGGAGGGGATACCACGTCCAGAGAGTAAAGAAAAATGTTTTAAAAGGTAAGGGCGGGTATTTTTCTCCTCTGACATTTTTGCGAGCAACTTGTTTTTCATTCCGTACCCTTCCCCCCAGACTCACCGCATGCGCGCGCCGATATCATTAGGTTTTTGTGTGTGTGTGTGTAGATGTAAACGGGGCGGCTAGCAAGTACTGCACGTTGCCGCGTAACCACGAAGCGTTCAACGCGGCCCGGCGCCGCCCCCTCTCCATGACCGGTAAGTCGAGCGATTTATTTTTTCCTGTAAGTAGATTTGCAACTCCCCCTGCATATACAGGGTAATGCATACACAAAGCAATCCTAGATTAAACTCGTCAAGATAAAATGCATTATTATTTGAATGTATGCCTACGCATAATAAACACTTGAAGTTATTTTCGGTTTCGTTTGTTGTTTTTGTTGTTGCTGAAGAATCTGGCAATTTACCAAAAAGATCGTCAGAATCAAGGGAACCGTTCGAGGGGAAATCAGTTTTTAAATTGGGACCAGTTTTTAGTGCCTTATTTTTGTGTGAAGGTGGGTGTTAAATAAATGAGGTATACTTTTTAACTTAGAAATTATCATTCTGTCCTAATCTTCAAAGGTAACATAAGGTAACAAAAAAGTTATGGCATGAAATAGCGAGATTATAGGGTGTAACTAGCAAACTCTACGTGTTATGTAAAAAATAGAATTAATCGTATTCCCCATCTCGAAAACCCCTTCAATCCCAATTTTTAGGTCGATATTTGAAAAATTGTGAGTGACTAATGAGTGACATTTTACTAAGACATTTTTTGTCCAATATTACGAGTTTAACCTAGAATTTCTTTTTGTCGCATTTATTACGGATTGTATAGTTTAGATCTCACGTATTTCATTCGTTTTTCGATATTTTATGGTTCACCTTCAGATTTTGTCACCCACCCGAATCAATTTCTTGCTTGGTTTGGTCCGTTTTATGACATTTCATTCACGTTCTAATCAACGCCATCTGCCGGCAGCTATGAACACGATCGGGTCGATGCGCGGTAGCCTTCTGCGCCGCGGCAGCATGCAGACCAACAAACCGCCGCCGCCCATCCGCCGCACGTCTTCCATAACGAACGCGTCTGCTTCAATGGGTAGCCTGGAGAACCTGCCGCCCCCGCCGGCGTTCCTGCTTGAGCCAGGACCGCAGCAACAGCAAAAGACTGCTACCCCCACCGGTACGCATCATAGCGGAGATAAAAAGTTTTATATAAGGTGTAGGTACAAAATCTAGGGAAATATAAAAAATAGTATGAAAAGTTCTTATGAATGTATCCTAGGAAAAAATCTTCTAGGAAAGTTCTTCTAGTATTGCTTCTTAACAACTTATTATTAACTTATTAATAGCTTAGTAGCAACTCTTCCCCTCTTAATTCCTCCAAATGTTTTGTACTTTCATTCTCTCTAAAAGAGGAGATTATCCATTTTAGACTTAATAGTATTATCGTGTGGTTTTTGGTGAGAAATTGTCAAATTTTAGGTTTAATCAGCTGAAATTAACATTGTCTCATTGATAGCATAAAACTACTAAACTAGAAACTAGAATTCTCCTCCGTCGCTATACTATAATATCCACATTCCTTGCCTAAAAGTCTGATGCGAGTACTCATAAAATGAGATAGCCATCAATTACTATGTGAATGGTTTTTACTTGATATCACTTGCTGAGAAACATAAATCAGCAGAGCGTCAGTTTAATTTATAAATAATAATAAATAAATAAATTTTCTTGTTCCAAGAATTGAGTAACTTTTAATGTTGCGACGCAAAATACTAACTTCTAACCAACTAAAAAAGCATAATCTCACCTAAACTAACCAAAACTTCGCGTAGTTCACAATGTGGCATATACAGCTACAACTTACCCTCTATAAAGGCAGTTAGATTCACGAAACGATATGTCACTATTATTGTTATTAATTGCGAACATTAAATTTACATTTTTTCTCTTCTGCAATTTGTGATGTTTTGTTTTTTTCCTTTGCTGTCACTGTAATGTTTTTTGTGCACTAAAATTTGGATTATAATATTGAATAAATACTACCTGATCAATAGTTAGTCCAGTAGAAAAATTTGCAAGTAACATGCTTAGGGTATACTTGATAACTATTTTCAAGATCACTTAAAAACTACAATGTAAATGTGCTCTTAATTTTAAAATTTGGCATAATTTTTTGGTGAAGAAGCCAAGTAACTTACCAAATAATGTTAAGCGGACAGGAAGCCTTAACATTTTTAAAAAATTAACAAAAATCTACTCATAGAGTTACACAGCGCAGGAGTTCTTTCGCTTTCGCTACGTTCATTTTATGATTTATTCCTAATTCTATTCTCGCCAAAGGCCGACCGACAACGCGTCTTTTCGACTAAACGCGGAAGTAAAATTTCAGGCGGCGTCAACGTGGCCGAAACGGTCAAAGCGCTGACAGAACTGAAACACACGCCGGCCAGTCCCAACTCGATCCGCCGCACCTCGTCTCCTCAAAACACCTTCCAGCAGTCGCCACAGCAGCAACAGCAGCAGCTTTGCAGTTTCCAGCAGCAAACGGCGGTCCTGAGCACGTTCCAAGGTCAAACCAAAGTCGCGTATTTGTCGCAGTCAGGGAGCGTGGTTTACGCGCAGCCGTCCGGCGGCAGTCCGAACGCCGTTCGACGCATCACTAGTTTCCGATCTCAGAGCGCCGACCGGAAGTCGGACGGTAAACCGCGACCGGGAGTCTCGATATTCGCGACTTCATTCACCAATTTCAGGTCCAAACAAGGTCGGCTCGAATTTTATCGCGTCGCTGAACGCGAAACTGGCGCCCAACCTGAGCCCGAGGGCGTCGCGGCGCAACTCGGAAGATCGAGGCTGCGCACCCGCGGTTAATAAGACTCCTGCGCAGCAGCAGCGCGGTCCAGGCCAGAGTTTTCTCGACTCGTTGAACGCTAGACTGGCACAGCAGCATGCGGTCGTCGGTGGCGCCGCCAACGCCGCACAGCTAAAGGCCAACAAGATCAGGCAGATTATTAATAGTAAGGCGCAGGTGAGCTTATGCTTTTTTCTTTGGAAATTATTTTGATTATTGTGGGGGCCGTTCATGTGTTGGGTCACTCCAAGAATCGTAAACCTAATAGGTTTGCCTAATCCGCCAAATCTGTTCGCAAGTGCAATGCGAAAACTCTCGCTGGCTGTGACGTAGGTGAAATCCTGTATTGGCGCGTTTACTATGTGTATGTATATGTATGAGTATTTTCAGTAGCTAATATAGCATTTTGTTTGGATAATCACTCGTTATTTTCATTTAATGTCAACATTAAATCGTTTTTGTACATATTTAATAATTATTGGGAAGTAGCGTAGGGTAAAAATAATATTATCGCAATCAAGTTTAGTTTATATGTAATATCTTGAAATACATATATTAATTAAATATTGTTAAACATAAATACATAAAACTAGCGAACAAAACGATTTACTTGTAAAACTTTGTGTTTTACGTCAATCTACCATTTTAAATATACAAAAATCAACAAATACTTATAAAAACTAGAAATCCCTATTTTTGGATATATTAAAGAACATATTAAAAAACAAAAAATATATTAGGTATACATAACTATTGATAGGTGGTACGTAAATAATAATATGTATTTATATGTACCCTCGTATGTACATAATATAAAAAATACATATTACTACATATACTTAAGTCTTTATTTTACAATTTTACCATACTTTCTCTTTTTTTTTCTGCGGGTATCATCTTGCAAAGATTTTCTTTTTAGACTAACGTTATATTTTGCTTTTAAATTTTTGAAGTTCATACGAATTATCGTTCTCAGCTTACAAAAATCTCTAACTAAACTAAATGGTAATTCTTTTTCTGTTTTAAATTTTTTTTTGCTAAGTTTTTTATCACCCCTTGTCCTTTTCGAAACGAATCACCATAATGGGATTCAAAATAAAAGTTCCATTTTTTAATTTTTTCATGGTATGGGTTCTGGAGATGGATTTTTCTCTAGAATTTCACTTGTGGCATTCAATGTTGTTACTAAAAGCTCAGACAATACCTGCTGAGCTTCTTTTTTGCCATTTTTGGAATGAAGTCTTTTTGATCTAGATAATCCTGCTTCTGTTTGTGGCTTCTGGTTAAATAATAATAGGGTGGACACAGCAGTTTTTTTTTTAGAATCTTTTTTAAAGTTAAACCTAAAATTTAAATTTTGTGGTCAATCTAATGTGTTGCTCAAGACAAAAAAAAATACCTAATAACTCATTTTGTAAGTCTCTTTCGTAATCATTTTCAGTAAAATGAATTGAGCAGACATAGCTTTTATCTGGTTAGGTTTGTCGTCTCTTCTACATCGAACTATCCACTCGTTCCGAATAGTTGGGGATACTAGATCTTTCTCTTTGGGAAAGCGATGAAAACTACATTTTCGAGAACTTGCTTTTTCATCAAAATAGTTCTTATTGCACCCATACATGGCACATACCTAACTATTTTTTTATGTAACTTATCCCACTGAAAAAGATAAAAGAAATGTATTTCTTACCTTTACCTATATTATTATGTGTAATATTTTGAGCGTACCTCCTAACTAATAACACCGCTAATAAGCAGCACGAACACAAAACTTTTAAGTCTTTGTGTAAGGTTAAAAATACTGTTTTTGTCAGTTCTCGCCACTCAAGCACATACAATTTTAAAATATTTGTTAAAGCTTAAAAACACTGCTTTGTCCATGTTTTTTTTTTTTAAGAAATACAATTAACACAAATATAAGCACACTATTCACTAGTTTAAATTATTTTAATTGTTCAAAGAACACAAAATACAACGGTTTAATACGCCTTCAAATGCATTGACTGCATTGACATTATACGCAAAAACCGTTACAGGACTTCGCTTACGTCACAAGCGACCACGTGCGATCGATAACTTTGGCGAACGTATTATGAGATTGGGCAATCCAATTAGGTTTACGATTCTTGGGGTCACACATTGACGAGGAGGTGGGAGCCTAGTCATAAGTTTCATGACGTCACATGTACAGAAGTAAAACTCTAGATTTTTATGACGTTGCCAATCCTGTTTTTATTAATATGGTGTGATGATTAATTTTCATATTATCAAGCTGACGTCTGTGACGCACATGCGCATATTTGGTTTCACGTAAGAAATTATTGAAGAGTTAAAAGGTCGCCAGTTTAATGTTAATGTTAACATGGAGTTGCATGTCCATCTCATTTCACGAAAGAAATACATAACAAATTTAATATAACCGACCATTTTTGGCGCTATCTTTTTTTGCTTGGTTTTAATTTCCAACTACTTTAAATTTACTACTACTACTACTACTTTAAATATTGCTTCTCTGACTCATCCAGTGAGTCGGATTCGACATTTCATGATGTCATTGTATTGGAGGTGCTTGAAGGACTTTCAATGTTGAATTGTACACTTGTACGGAAATTTTAATTTAGATAACTATAATAATACTGAATGCAAAGTTCATTTTCATTTTCAAAAAACACTTAATCAGACTGTATGAAGCAGTTATCACTCCTAATAATGTGATAACAGAATGCAACCATGATGTTTGTGGCGTGGAAGGGCTTTGCATTTAAGAATATTATGCTACCCTACTAGACTAGTTACTTTTAAAGGTCTTGGGAGGGCCAGCTTCAGTCAATATTTCTTCTAATAAACAAAAACTAAAAACATTAAAAACAAAAAATAGGTTATGAAGGGCACTGCGTTCCGTTTTCGCTATAGCGCCTTCCGTCCCCTAGCTTCCGGCACTTTTCCTAAATAAGAATTTTATTCAGATTTTTGCTGAGCGTTTATTTTTAAAAATCGTTTTTTTCTTTTGTGAGAATGGATAGGAATTAATTCTGATCGTATAAAGATAATGGTCGAAATGGGCATGAGATTTTAAATTTTACGCTGAACGGTTTACCTACGTTTTATCTATTGCAGGGCGGTCCACAAGAGGAATTCTTTTAATATCCCGGTGAGGTTTATGTTTTGCGAGTGTTGCGTTATTAACCGAAACGAGCGTGTGTGTGTGTGTGTGCGTGCCCTGAAATCGTCTCCTATTAACTAGCATAACGCTGCCCTGTCATTTGTTGACACTAACAAGTCCTTTTTGTTTTATGAGCGTGAAAATTGGGCAGCTCTTTTTGTAAATTTACGATTTTGCGTTGCAGCCGGACCCGAAGGTGTGCCACGAGTCCCTGATGGACCAGATCAAGCGCGGCGCGACCTTGAAACGAGCCAAAATCGTCAACGACCGCTCCGCCCCAAAAATTTACTGAACTGATTTAAGTCGACAAATAATTTTATCGTAAATGTTAGATCGACAGTCGACGGAAAAATGTATTTAAAAAAAAAATGTAAACGTAGTGTTTTCATCAGTATTTCGCGCTTCTCGCGGTCAATTTCTTGAATATACCAGCTACACGGTATCAAAATAATTCGGAAGTTGATCAGTCTTCATAACCTAAACACTATAATTTGAACCATTTTTTTGCAAGATTACTATTGAACAGAAATAAAAATTCATAAAACGCAATACAACCTAGTTAAACGTTTCCATCATATTTACCGGGCTTTTAGTCCCGTTTAACATCTTCAACTGATATTTTTCTTTTGATGTTGGTTTTTTTTTAATTACGCTTTGGCCACTGCTGTTTGATGTTGGTTATTTTAGGTTCTTCTTCTTTTACTTCTGTTGGCCACGATTGCTAGGATCATTCGGCTGTTATTTAGGTTATATGGACTTGTCTTCTTTCCTCTGTAACCGGCACACTGTTAACGCTTAGGTTAAAGTTATGAACCGAGGAAGAGAGAGATATATTTCTAAGCTTAATTAATCAGGTGAAACAACGTACGCGTTGACACCGACATGCCTGTTTGAGGTTAAAATAAGAGTTCCATTTCGTGGTGATCGAAGCCGAACGAACGTCCACCGTCCGCGCGTACGACTGACTTATTTTTGTATTTTGCATAAAAATTCGAATGAAATGTTACAAGTATTACTCGTGGGACTGATGTTACAATTAGGGTTTAAAATACACGTATCCAATATTATGATTATTAATTAGCCTAAAAATAACGTAAGGTGTTTTGTCTTTTTTTTTTCTCTGTTTTTACCGGTCACCATTCCGTGGTGCGACGGCGCACCAGGCGGTAGTTCGAGTATCGATGGTACATTCGAACTACCAGCCCCGCGATCCTCTCGGATGTCAGCCAACATTTTTTCTTCTGTTTTCGGAATCACTACTTGATTAGTTTAGTTTTGTAAAATGTACAAAGGATTGCGTTCGTTATGTACATAATCATCAACAAGAAATGTCTAATATATTTACGTAGAGCCACTAAGTAAATAAGACGGACGAGTGTTTATTTGTTTTGTTTTTCTGTTTCGCGTATTTAGTTTTATTTTTAATTTTATTGTCGCTCTTGATGTTACGACAGCAGCAACAAAACGAGTTAATATTAATTGTTTAACTGTTGGATGGTTCATTTCTAATTCTTAAAAATTGCATGCCCGTAATATTTAAACGAAATAAACAAAATAAATGGTTTCTGTGAGAATGTGTTTGGTATTATTTCACCCATACGCCGTGCTTATTCTAAACGTACCTACGTGTGAACTACTGTTAAAATGATAAATAATAGACATTTTCAAACTCTCAGAATATTTTTAAAAAAGATTACAAGCCGAACCGCGCCGGTGTTCTCCTCGGCGTGGTTCCCGCATTGATGATCTCCTGCCCCTTGTGCATGGCCGCTTCCTTCTTCTCCGCTGCCTCCTTCCTTGCCTTCATCTCCTCTTGGGCCACCTGCATCTGGTTTTCCATTTCCAGCAGATGCTCGGCCGCCTGCTTTTTCTTGGCCCGACCCGATTTACCCGTTTCTGTGGGAATGAAAAATGAAATTCCGTTTAAGCTAAGGTGATTAGTTAACGTACCCTTAAGGGAGAAGAACATAGGTCCCAGCTCGGCGAGCCAGTGACCGTCGACCGAAGTGACGCACTGCATGTACTCCCTCGCGGTCATTACCAATTCGTGGTACACCACGTAGTCGGGAGTGTTGCCGAGGCCGAAAAGGGCAGATGTTGGATGAAGGTAGCACGGCATTCCCGTACGACAGTTTACGTATTCTCCGATGCCTGCGAAATGAAAAAATAAAGAGACCAATAAAACCCGTTCAAACGCGGTACAATTGAACTACTTGTGTACAAATTACTATCAATCAACATGAGCAGTGCGTGCAGCAATAATTAAGGACCGAAGTAATAGACTTTGAAGATTACCGCACAAACAATAACAGCTTAGGGATTGATAAAGTCATATCTGAAAGTTTTTATTAAGGGCCAGTTTTAATCAAAATGATCTTATGAATTTCTTATTTAATACTGTTGGCGATTCGATGCAATAGACTTACCCTCTCGCCTATTAAACACTTTTTCAATAGTACCACGGGAATACAAATAATAGTTATGAAATTTCATTGGTTAGTTGGGAATATGTGGATGCACGGCGCTACTTTGGTTAGGAATCTGTAGTTGTTGCTTTGTTGTACTGCTAAGAGTCGCACAAACTCGGAAAAAAAATGCCGCTGCCGTTATCAACTACTTATCATCTATCTCATTTTAACACAACCCCCTTCCGAGGACTGATGCGTAAACAAGGTTTTGTTAAGTATAACCGCAGTGGCATCTTGGCTGGTTTGTGCTTGTGGTGTTACCTCGCTCTAGCCTAACGACTGCTCAGTACTACTACAAAATGCACCACTTAAGGTATGCTTAAGAAACGAAAACAATCGGTACAATCTACCTAGTTATTAAGCGCCACCTAAACGAAACGCACCTTTTAAACGGGCCGCCTGGTGGAAGTAAGCGGAACAGATGCATTTTCTTACGACGTCCCAGTCTGTACCGCACGACTTGACCTCGAACTTTTGCTGTACTAGAATGTCTTTGAGTTGCTGCCTGACCTCGCGTACTTTTCGCATCGCCTTCACGTGAATAAAGTGCTCGTTGCACCAGTGCGACGAGTAATTGTTCTGCCGCCATTGATTATAAACGTTAAGGAACGTGAGGTGGTCGCTCTCGGGCACCTGGAACTTCTCCCTCACCCCGTCCGACTCCTCCTCGCGGCCCTTCGGTCTGTAGAATATCGAGGGCACCGAAAGCATCGACACTATGATTAGTATTTCGGCCGTGCACTCCATTTGGGTCGACACGATCAACATTTGGCATTGGGGTGGGTCGAGAGGAAACTCGGCCATTTGGCGGCCGAGCTTAGTCAGCACGCCTGAAACTGAAGCACGTCAAACGGCTGCCGCGGTACGCGACATATGATTTGGTGCCAATTATACGTTCGTGATATAAGAGACCACCAAAATCCAATTAAATTACCAATATAAACAAGGCATATCCAAAATTTTTTCATCTTTTTCTCGAAATTAATTTACATTTACATGTCGTTTGGGGTTTTTTAGTGATCGTTTTCAGATTAGAATCAGAATCAGATCATAAATCCAAAAAAAAGCAAACGTAATTCTGCGGATAAAAGTTTAGTTGGTTCAAACTGTATATGACAACTATCTTTTAATATTGTTATTATTTTTGGTTCACAGTAGGGCCCAATTGGAAGCAACCATACAAAATTAAAAAACGACGATCAAAAAACAAAACAGGAACAATTTTTACCGAAAACTTCTTAACGTTCTACCTACTTTACATACAAAATAAGCTAGACTTTCTCAAAAGCTCTACCTGTGTGGTCAAGTGCGCCTAAGATCCACAGCTGGTACAACGAATTCAGGATGTTGTCCTGCGGCGGAGGGTCCATAAAGTGGAACTGAAGCAGGTCCTGCACTCCGAGCGATTTGAGGAGTAGGACCGTGTTGGCCAGGTTGGTGCGTTGGATCTCGGGCACCGTTGTGACCAGCAACTCGTCCTTGTACTGGCGCTCGGTGTAGAGGCGGAACGCTTGACCGGGTCCCGTACGCCCTGCCCTTCCCGATCTTTGGTTTGAATTTGCCTGACTTATGGGGTAGATCTGTACCGAGGGAAATACATTGGAGCCCTTGATATAACAACTAATATTTTTTATTTTATAATGATAACGTTTACGTTTCAATCCCAAGCAAAAAACGACCTCATTTCGCTTCACCTTTTCTATATCATTGTATACAATACGCGTCACATCCTTGTTGTACACCATTCTTTTATTTCCTTAATATCGAATGCAATATTTATTATTAGCTGTTTTTGAGACTTTCTTGCATCAAAAAACAGTTGTACCCTCTTCAAATAAAGTAAGTGTTATTTCAAACGAAACGTCGAAAAAATTAGATGTTTGATCACGCGGTACGTTCGAACGATTTTAATTATTTTTACTCTTTTTTAATGTAATTGTTAAAAACATGAATTTTTATTTTACTTCGCACCGAATGAAAAAAAAACTGTGCAGGATCCTATAACGTCCCCTTCTACGCACCCTACGTTTCAATTACCTGCAAAGCGTCCATACCTATCCTCGGGTTGTAAACTTTCAGCTTGCAGTAGCCGGAATCGATAACGAATATGATACCATCGACAGTTAGCGACGTTTCGGCTATGTTAGTGGCGACCACGCATTTCCTGATGCCCTCCGGCGACCGCTGGAAGATTTTCGCTTGCAGGTCGGACGGCAGCTGCGAGTAGATCGGCAGGATGGACAGTTCGGGGGCGTTATCTATCTCCGTTAACCGCTCGGCCAACACCTGCAGACAGGCAGGCGGGGCATAAATCAAATCGACTTGCCAGCCAATGATGTCAAAAGTTGACGAAATAGTATATTATGCAACAAGTGCGGTAAACGGCATTTGACTCACGAGTTTATTTGGCACGAGCGTAGCGAGTGTTTAATAACGGACGTGTTGCTTACTATACTTTTTCTACGATCATAGAAAGATGAGTTTACTAAATGAGTTAGTTTAAGTGCGGACACGTACGAGTGAGATGGACGCGCGGCCTCTGAAGATGCCAAGTGATATTTTGGCGAAACGTCAGGCGAATGATCCTACTCCAGGGTCAAACAACGAACGGATGAATACCCGGATTACCACCAATACATATATATATATATATATATATATATATATATATATATATATATATATATATATATATATATATATATATATATATATATATATATATATATATATATATATATATATATATATTTATTTACAATACAACTTCCGAGTAGTAATTTTGGAGGTTGGAGTTCGCAAAAGTCTTTTTTCAATTTCAATCACATGACCGACGCACTAAATCCCTTTTTCAGAATCCGCCGTCAATTTAACGTAACGACCCTCACTTTAAACTTGCTACAAACAAAACAAGTACCGGCATATTTCACTTTGAAGCGATTTTATCCACAACAAATTTCGTACAAAGATTTATTCAAGTTTACAATCTCCAATAGCTCATTTTACAGCATATTTAAAGTAAGCCAATAAATGATATCATTATTTTTTCCAAGAAGACGTGGGCATTTTTTTTAGATTTTCTTGAGTGACAGCCATTATCCATAACTGTACAGACACAGGAGGAATAGGATTTAGGATGCGAGTAGGCCACAACCAACAAATCCATTTTTGCTACCAATACGAGTAAAATAATTCTTTTCTTTTCACGGACTATCCTCCTCCAGAGCTTGCCTCGAGCTTTATAAATCTTTATCCCATCTACATGTTTTGCGTTTTTTCGCAACCAAAATTCATTTCCTTCCAATCTTTTCAATTATTTTCAAGAACGAACGTTGCCAACAACTGCCGGAAGGTAACTATAATTCTAATTTTAAGCACTAAGGCACAGGTAGGTCAAACCACCAAGTTTCACATGATTTATAACGCTCTCGCGTTAAAAGACGGAGCATACACACCTAGGTTTTTTTGCAGCAATTTAATAAGTCATTTAAAGACTCCATACTGAATCACGTGTTATTAAACTTGACGATGTCATTTTGCCATTTAATAATATATAATTTATATATAATATATATAATTATAATTCTTATATACCTGCTGCAGATACTCTCTTTTAGAGTTGACATTTACAATATAAATCTACGTCGTTAACATATTTGAACTATACCACACCACAGATAAGAAATATTCAAAAAGGTTCAGCCGACGCAGAAAGAATCCAGTAGCCTGAGGAAGTGTCTTTGAAGAATAAAAGTGGCTATTCATTTCAATGCATTACTGAATTTGGAATTTTGACACTAGTCAGACTATTCCAGCCTTTAAACATTCACTAAAAAATCACATGCTCAATAGGCAGTAGTTTGGATTATTGCTCTTCTATCTAGTTGCATTTAATAATTGTAAATTTGCGTTATTTGCCTTGTTGTATGATCAGACTAGGATCCTTTAGTTTTAGGTAATGACTTGAAATTCGCTGTCTAAATTTTTACAGCCCATTGTTTCACCCGAGCATGCTATATCTTATTAAACAATGTGTAATAATAATAATTATTACGTTAAAATATTTTTTTTTGCAAAAAAGGTAGCATAAAAAATACGTCCAGCAAAACCTAAAAGGAGAGATATCTATCTTAAAAATTGAGGCTAAATTTCTCTCTCGACGTCCCATTTGTTTTTTTTTTATTCTTATATTCCGAAAAGGTTCAATACTAATCATGCAATTTTCGTCCAAAGTGGTGTTAAAAAAAGTATCTCAGCCTCTTTAACCGAAAATTTTTACAAGCAATAATTATTCTCACGTTTTAGAAGCACTTGGTGTAACTTACCTCGCAGGTCACCTCGATGTCCTCCTGACCAGGCATGAAAATCAAAATGTCGCCCGATGGTGGCTGCAGGTGTATCTGCAGAGCCTGCTTGACGGCCGCGTCTACGTAATCTTCGACGGGGTTCTTGCTGAAGAGCACCTCTACGGGGAAGGTGCGACCTGGTATCGTAAACGTAGGTACGTTTCCGAAAAACATCGAGAACTTGCTCGAGTCCATTGTTGCGGACGTCACGATCAGTTTAAGGTCGTGCCGGCGCGCAACTATCTCGCGCAGCAGACCGAAGAGAACGTCAGTGCTGAGGGAGCGTTCGTGCGCCTCGTCCATAATGACTGCGCTGTAGTGGTCGAGGTCGGGCTCGCGTAAACTCTCGCGCAGCAGGATACCTTTTTTTTTTATTAGAAATAAAATATTTCACGTTTGTTTAATTTCTTAATGTTTCGGTATACTCCTGTAGCGGGGACACTAGCTAAAACGGACACTTCAGTCATCCGGAAACATTAGAAAGATTAGAAACTAATTGGTACCCTAGCAAACAAAGAGGGAAATGCAACACTTGTTTAATTGAGCGGTTCGCATTCGAGAAGATTTAATAACGAGCAGACGATCAAAGTTCACATCGACTTGTTGCAAGGATCACTCTCACTTTGACTAGTTTTGCCTTTATCTGCCTTTATATTTGCTAATGATTCGCATTATAAAGAAAAGTCCATTAAAAAAGCCAGAAACGTAACCTAAAATTAGACAGAGCCGTTTGAGGCCCATCGTGACCAAAGGTAAAGTCTGTTCATAGATATAAGAAAGTGACTAACTGATACCAATTAAGGAAAGACCTGGGCAAGCTGTAAGAATGAAATATGGCCGAACAGGTCAGTACTTTGCTTAGAATTTAATTATTTGGAGTTTTGTTAGGAAAGATACTAAACAATAATTATTTATTTATGTATGTTTTTATGTTTAAATCTAAAATAAAATTACAAATTATTTTTATTACCTACTTAAATTACTTAAAATTATTCGCTTAATATATCAGTATCACTATCGCTATCATCGCCTGTTCCAATTATTATTTGTTCTATATTATTTGCAATATGGATATACGATTGTTCTGCTTTTTCTATATGTTTAACAGAATTTGGCCAACTTTGTGGAGGGATGTTAAAAACTTCGGTTTCTATAAGTTTGAGGACATTGGAGTTAACACGGGGAAAAACATTGTTACGACGAATGCCAAACATGTTCAATGGGATTAAATATACAGTGGTAAGGTGGAAGCCTTAAAACTGTATGCCCTAGATTTTTTGCATAATTATCACCTTATGTAGGTTCAAGCTTTATAGAACCTTAATTAATTTCTTTTGAATCTTCGTGAAAATAAATGTCGTTATTATACATGTAGTTTTGGATTGTTGCTTTTGTGTCACATGAGGAAGGGGTTTTAGTCAACTGTATATTGCGATAACTTGCATTGTCCATTACAATGACGCTATTAGGAGGAATGTTTGGAACTAGTTTGTTTTTAATAGTAATCCAGAGAAGAATTTTTAATATTTTTCGCAGACAGGGAAAGTCCATTTGGAATCCAACCATATTTAGAGCCAGCATGCAAAATAGTTTTTTTTTACCTCTTTTTGATGGCGCGTTTGTTTTACACTTATCAGTTGAGTCAACCCAACCCTTTTGCAGGGTATCATAAGTGTCGGACCAGGTTTCATCCAAGCAAATAATTGGCCCTTGTTCTCTAAAAATCCTATTTTTTTTAGATATTCCAGTCGCCTTTTGTCATTTTTTTAAAATCTAAAACCCATGTATTGAATACACTTCTATAAGGTAGTTCTGCCACATCTAACACTGGCGTCATCTTTTTCAAGCCTCCTAATTAAGATATCTAATGTAATCACGTTTTGTTCCTCGTAGAACTGGTAAATTTTACGCCGTATTATATCTTGATCACTTTCATCTGCACTCGAGAAAATGTCAGCATCGCTTCTTTTTTTCCTCGCTGAAATCGGATTATTCACAATTTTCCATACAGTTGATGTTGGAATTTTCGTCAATGTGGCCGTTTCTTCTAAAGATGCTTGCTTGCTGTCACCACGTTCAATGAGAGTCAAATATATATTATTTATAACTTCCTTAGTCTCAACAGAATAGTGTTTTCTATATTTGGGCGGGAGCATCTCCTGAGATACACTAGACTTCCACATATTTTGCATAATTCGTACAAGATTCAACACGCTGTATTACACACGAAATAAGAATGATAAACTTAAACTAAGTAGTATACCAAACCAAAGAATATTAAACACAGGTAGGTATAAAATTATTTTCTATTATGGACCACAATTTTACCTGAATTTAAATTCCGAAACTTTAGGTAATGATCTTGTTGCATTGTATGTTAATGACCACCCTTGGATAATCCCTTTCAAAAGCAAATGATCACTTTCTTATATCTATGAACAGACCATACCACATGTTCGTTGGAGGGGAGTAAGATGGTGCTTTTAATCTAAGACATCAGCATTTACTAAATTCGACGTCTTATGAGACATAACCCAGAGAAGATTTTTGTATTGTACGTTAGAGTTTACAGAAACAAGAAAATTTGGTTAGCTATCTTTATTTCATCAATAACCTCTACGGCGTTGTTGATATCCATGTCAAAATTGTGTAAATATGCTAAATTGTTAGCGTCGTCGAAACCGTGCAATTCTATTCTTATCTTGCAGATTTGACGGAAAACATTATTACTTTACTTGAACTACTCCAGATTTTAAATAAGATTCCACCGTACCAAATGGTTCCTAGTAAAACCAGTTTCGATTTTTTATTTTCTTAAAAATGATGTGCAAATATATTCCTAAAATTTAATGCATGTAAACTACTGCCCATACCACCAAAATTAATATTCCTAGAAGGCTGGAAGAGAGAGAAACTCCTCACGAAGAAGGAAAGAAATGTTGCTTCGAATTTTCTAAAACATCCACATAACAAATGTCGTTCAAATAATAAAAAATGTTCGCGGAAAACTCCAAATTTGAATTAGATATTTTTTCTTTAAAAAAATTTTGCACAAAATATTGGGGTTTTAGAGAATTTCAAATAGTTTTTTTGACGTTTTTGTGTGTAATTATCGAAACATATGGTCGGCACCGGAAATAGTGACACAAAGTAGGCGAAAAACAGGGCCTTTGAGCACTACAACCCAATAAAAAAATTTCTTTTGTTTTGTTATAGGATTGAATATTGCTTCTTGCATAATTTCTTTAGGTTTCAATTGTTTTACTTATATCAGTAATATAGTAAACAGTACATGATAGTAAGAATATTGGTTTCTTCCTCCAAACTAACATAAGAGAACGTGTAGGGAATAAAATTCAACTATTATTATTCAATATCGCGATCAAAAATAAGAGCCCAGTTTAAGTTTCGAGAGTAGTAATGCGCTAGTGTCCTCAGTTGACGTGCCAAACATAGTAAAAAGTAAGTAAGCAAGAAGAAAAACAAGTTCTGGGCAAGGGAATGTAGAAGTGCGCTGCTACTGCTACTATCGCTTACCGTCCGTCATATACTTGATGACCGTGTTCTCCGAGGTACAGTCTTCGAATCGGATGGCATAACCTACTTCGTCGCCGAGCTGGGTACCCATTTCATCACTCACCCTCTTTGCCACGGACATGGCGGCCACTCGCCTCGGTTGCGTGCAACCGATCATGCCGTACTTGCTATACCCATCTTCATGCAGGTACTGAGTCAGCTGCGTGGTCTTTCCGCTTCCCGTCTCGCCCACGATAATGACAACCGAATTCTCCCGGATGACGTTCAGCAATTCCTGCCTAACTGCGAACACGGGCAAGTAGCGTCTCTGTTCCGCTATCGACTTTTTTCGCGCGAATTCGCTAGAAGCCTCGCTTGTGCCCTTCATGTGCTCCGCAAACTTATGATCCGCCTTGTAATCAGTACTGATGGAAATAAAAATGTATTTATTAGCCTGTACTAACCAGGATAAAGATTCATGTAATGGAGTGCAAGTTTTTGAACAATGCCTTTTTAGGTGGAAAATTCCTTTTGAAATGAAACTTAATTTCTAGTAAAACATATCATGGCATTTTTAAGTTACTTTCAAGTTTAACAAAGCTTCCTCACCTGTCGTCCTCTTTGTTGTATTTGCGGTCTTCCTCCTCCTCTTTCTTCTTAATGCCCATTATGTTGCCTATCTTTGTGCCGCCCAGTTCCCAGTGTTTCTTCTGCGCTTTCCTCCTCTCCTTCTGCTCCCTATAAACCCTGACAAGATGGGAACCCTTGCGAGCCACCAGAGCCATATCCGAGGTGGCGTCCTTAACTGGAACTACCGGCTCAGGCTGCTTCGTGAACACGATGCGCCCGTCCAAAAATGGTGGCACTATGTTATGCACCAGCAAATGAACTCTGTCAATGGATTCTTCATCAAAGTCTTCATTCACGTCCACGGACTGAACCACTCCCGAAGTCAACATCCGGTTCCTCTCCCACAACTCATTGTCCTTATTGATTTGCCTTTGCTGCGCTGACAGTCTCTTCTTCTTCCTCTGCTCCAGCTGTTCCTCTTTTTTCTTTGTATACTCTTCACTCACGCTCGAAAAGGGGTTGTTCTCATCATCGTACCCCTCTCCCATGCTGTACCATTCTCTGTCTAATCTTTTTTGTTCCTCTTCCCAGTTTTCCCTTTCAACTGTGGCATCCCATTTCGATGGTTCCACGCCGGGAGTCGCACCCGTTTTCTTCCTGTCTTTCATCCAGTTGTTGAACTTGTGTGCGGGTGTAGGCCTGGGAGTTTCATCCCTTGAGCTCTTCTCACGTTTGTATGATCGATGGGAGTCGTATTTAGTCTTGAAACTTCTCTCGGACCAATTTGAGTCCTCCTTTTTATAAGATGCAGGTGTGGGAAAATCCCAGGAAGACTTTTTAGCGGGTGAAGGATCGTCCTCATCCTCCCATGAACTTCTAGATGGGTTATCCTTCACTTTGATATTTGGCGTACGGGGCTCATCCCTAAACCTTGGTGTTTCGCCCCTACGGGAACTGTACTTATTCTTTTTCCTTTCCGACCTGTCCCTACTTGATTTCTCCTGACGCATGCCCTTATCGCGTCCATCTTTGGTCGACGCATACACGCCTTTCTCTTTGTATTTGTCTTTCATGCGTTCTCGTAAACGTTCCCTCGCTTCTTTACTCACCCCGCCTGTGTAGGTGGGAGTTTCTTCTGCAGCGGAGCGGAACTTGCGTCCGTCTTTTATTAAGTTACGACTGTCGTGAGCGTTCTCTGCGGCGACCTCGTCATCCATCGAAAAAGACATTTTCCTCGCTGTCTCCTCTTTTTCACGGCGCTTGGCCGCCGCCAAACGGTCCAATCCGAGAAGAGATACTTGGGGCACCTTGAAAGTGCTGGTGCTTTTCTTTTTTACGACGAGACCGCCTTTCTCACTACCCGTTGTACCTTCGAGGCGGTGTAGGCCCTCGTCGTCGTCCATTTTTTGGAAGTTTTGAATATGTAGCAAATAAGCAACAACCTTTTAAGGTTAAAAACGCCTCGTCTACTTATGACCGACCATAACAGTAGTTATTACTGTTTGTTTTGTTTTTGTAATTTGTAATATCTAGAGCAAGAAGCTCCTCTAGTTAAATTTTCGTTATAATATAACCATAAATAAATCATAGAAAGGATAAATAACACAAGTTATATCTTCTTCCTTCTTACTTCTGTTGGCTAGGTCGACTAACTCAAATTTAATGCCCAATCTTCTTCTTTAAACCAATACTAATAAAGTCAACTTCCCACAGACGTCACGATCAATTCAAAAGAAGAAGAACAATTAAAATACACAGTTGTAAAGTTTCAATAATTTAATATATAAGTTTAATACACGTTCACGTTCACTAGTCGGATTCAACGTCCATTTCTTTTTCCATTTCGACGTCTGCTTCGCTTTCGTCCTTAATTTCTTTGTCCCAGTCTTTCATCTTTGCAGACATCATAAAATCCTCCCTCAGAACATTCCAACCATTATCATTTTTCTTCTCCGCTTTGTTTTCCTTAGTTTTAACCGCTTCGTCAACTCTGGTCGACTTTTCACCCATAAGTACGTCCAAAAATGCCCGTTTATCGATGCTCTTCAGCACTTTCTCCTTTCTAACCTCCAAAGGACCAGCTTCCTCGAGCTTTTTGCTGATATCCTTCTGCTGCGTCCTAACTGCATTGAATAACTGAACCACACCTCTGGTTGCTATTTTTTGTAACGTTCGCTCCCTGTCTTTTTCGAGTATGTTTGGTTTTACCCTTAAATTTGGCAACTCCCTTCTCTGAAAAGGAATAAATTAAGCTTAAAACACAATAAAATTAAATAAATAAAAATAATTTTTGGAAAACACCAACCTTTCTTCTTGACCGTTCATCTGCGTTTTCTTCCTCCTCTTTGACAATTGTTTCTTTTTTGATTTCCCCATCTCCAGTGGCAATTTCATAACTTTCCGTGATAAGAGTTTTGCGTTTTACCTCGGTGAGTTTTTTGGCTTTTGAGAGCGCAGTAGATTTTTTCTTTTTCGGCTTGTTAGTTCTTAAAATTCTGGCAATTGAATCCGCCCAGCCCTCGTTAAGCAGCGCTGCGCTTTCATCGTCCAAGACCTCACTCTGACGTTCTAGATCGTCGGTGTCACTGTCAGACCGTCTGTTTCGCGCTCGTTTTTTCGCTATTTTGATCGATTTGGAGTCAGTTACTTCGATTTCCGAATCCTCGTCGTCCACTAAATGTTCGCTATCAGAATTGGAATGGAGGCCGTCTTCTACAAATACAGTAAAAGGCGAGGCAGGCCTATAGTGGGAACGAAATGATTACCATCTATAATAATTTTGGCCTTTTGCGTCTTGACGGTCATATCGATTCAGTTTAAGGAAATACTTTTCGATTAACACTTTTATTTTATTAAGCGGTTAGGTTATGTGCATGGATTAAAATTTGGTATGTCTTTAGACAAATTACACCAGCGTGCAAGAGCATGAAGAAATGCAAAAAAAAATAACTATTATTCGTAATTAAAATTTTGAATTTAATAATTCCATTATTTTGGTCATTCTTCGTCGTTAGTTCAAATGTACCAGATTTAAAAGAATTTTAGTGTGATCTTGTGAAATTTTGACCATTATAAATGCTAGGCGTCTGTTATTTCTAATGGTTTAAATGCCTAGCAAATACCTGTTGCACTGAAAAAACACTTTGTAGTCAGTAGTTACATCTTGAAATTTGGGAACATGGTCTTTTTTGAATATTTTCAAAAAGTCGAATTAAATTTTTATTTTTATGGGCGTCTCTGTGATCAATTTTTTAACCTTTAGCTTTTTTTATGGACTGAAAAAGTTTATTTGACTAAAAATAATCGTTTTTCACACATTTCATGTCAAAATTTCACAAGAACACATTTCAATTCTTTTGATGGTACATTTGAACTAACGCATACAACCGGGGTCAAAAAAACGGCAACCAGCTTTAACCAAAACATTTATTATACACGCCTTGAACATTTCAAAGCTGTCAGATACATCCGGACAAAAACCGAACCATCATAAATCTAAACGTAAAAGCACAAGTATAAAAAGCCTTTTCAAAAATGGTCATTCGTCATCTTCGTCATCGTCAATTTCTTCGAGCCGCTCCTGGTACCGTTCTGCTGCTTCCTTGTGACGGGGCGAAACCAGATGGAGCCTGACCTCATAAACTGAGAGCAGCTCTGTTTCGCAAAGGACGCACTTGATCTCCTCGAATGGTATTATGCTGGAAGAAGGAAGACCGAAAGCGTCAAACCCATCGCCCTGTCCACTTCTTACCCGAGACTCATATCCTTCATCATTTCTAAATTAGTGGCGGCGCACTTAAGCGCCTCGGTCTGGCCCGCCAGCTTAACGAACCACAACAGGCCCCAGATGTCTTGCTCGTCATTGTCCATGCTCGGTTTGAGCAAGCCTAGGCCTCCGTGTTTGCCCCAAGCGGTACTGCGCGGCGCGACGTTGCGCCGGTCGATCGGTACGCGTTCCATTTTGATTAACCTGAAAATATAGGCGGAGCGCGGTTAGAGCTTAGTCGGGGTGGTAGGGCCGTGGTTTTCACACTTACTTGAACAGGTGCTCCTTGATTTTGATCTGGGTGTTAACTAACTCCTTCTGGGTAGACATGTTCCGTTCGATGTCGTTCAGCAGCTTCACGCCCGCATTCATTAGGTACCTAAGGCGGTTGATCTACGGGAATATATGAGGCGTTTGTTTTATTGCAAGGTCATGTGTATACAAATACAGAAATATGTCAAACTTTCCAATAACAATCAATTGATCTTGTATTTTCGGTTGGGAAATTCAAAAATGTTTTCTTAATTTCGACATCCATTGTATCTTAAAAAACAAAAGCCCCTTCCCCAAACTTACCATTTCGAGTTCCTCGATCGTCAGCTCTGTATCGAGCGTCAGGCATATGTCGTGGACGGGGTACAAGGGCTTGCCCGTCGTGTCGTTGCACCCGAGACCGCACAATACGGCAGCCACCAGCGTGTTGTCGTTGGTTAGCTTGGGTTCCATCGTCGGACAAAAGATGACCGCCAGCAGCATCGGCAGGCCTGGCAAATTCGGCATCAGCGTTGTCTGCCTAAGCTTTAGTCGGTTACCGTCGCCGGTCTGACTAACGTGCGCGGCCACCAGGAGGCGCGCGTGCGGACTTTCCGGCTCGTTGTCCAGCAGTACGGCGTTGACAGAGGTGCCCTCGACGTCGACGCTCTTGCTGCTCCCCGCCATCGTGCAGCAATACAGTTTGACTTCGAGCGGACTGAATGGACCGCGGAGGTGGATGACCGTGTGGTGACGTCCGTGGTCTACCTGGGGCGCCATGAAGTCGCTGTAGCTGACGATTTTGTCGTATGCCAGCCGGTTGGCCTCTTGGTCGGGGTTTTCGGCAGCTTGGACCGCCAGTCGCTGCTGGTGATTTTGCTAATCGAACCGACAAACTTCGATTAAAATACGCAACACGAGATTGACAGTCGCGCATGCCTTGGAATTGAAAATTGATTGAAGAAGAATTCTTAAATGTTTACAAATATCTGTGTTTTAATAATTTTATTGTTACCTTTTCAGTTTATTTATTTAGCTTTTAATCTTTGTTTATTTTTTGCTTGATAAGATTCCTAAAAAATAAATAAGATACATGAAAAGATTATGAAGCACAAAAACTAAGAATATAAGAAATCCAATTACAAAAGGCATGAAAAGATGTATGAAGTTTTACTATTTTATTTAAATCAATTATATATTTTTTCTCCTTCCTACTTCTCACTAATTCGGGAAACTCTGCTGTGAGCTAATTCATGCGTGCAAAAAAGGTGTATACCTTTACAAGTTAATACAATTGAATATAAAAGCATCAAGCGTAGTGTAAATATACTTTAAAACTTGTCAAATACACAGAAACAAAAATAGATGAAGATGGTCAGGTAGAAGTTCTAAAAGCTGTGGTCAAGGGACTTTTGTACTGTATAGGGTTCTATATCAATTAGCAGATTTCTTGTTAATTTTTAAAAAATGATAAAGTTTTCTGCCTGTTTAATATTATTTGGTAACTTATAAAAAAATATAATACAAGAATAGGTGGGCCTTTTTTCTGGAGATATTAATCTATGTAGGGAAAAATTTAGCCCAAAGTATTTTATTCAGATGTTACATTCACCATTAAATTTGGTGAATTCTTCCCTGTTTTGATGAGGGTGTGGAGAGTGTAAAGAAACAAAGTTTTTCAAAAGCTCATATTTTAAAATTGTTTAAAATTGACTGCACATTTGTATATTAGAACTTTTCTATGCTTGAATAGCTAAAACAATACTCATAAGGAGTAGCAGGAGTATGTTACTTTTTTGCAAGCTGTTCTATGGAACTAAGATTTTGGTCAATGAAAATCCCAAAAAACTTCGTGTGGACAGACTTTGAGTGTTCAAAGCCACCATCCCAGAGACTCTGTTCTCTGGTTTGATCTGAATGATAAGTACCTGGTTTTATCAGTTAAAAGTTTGTTTTTTGTGAACCAGTCCTGGGCCGCTTGCAAGCGCTCATTCGACATCCCAAGCAACTCTGACAGCCCCTAGGTTTGCGTTGCTTTAGAATGGTTTTTATTAGTTACTAGTTATTAGTTAGTTAATTTTCAAAATTTTTCTTTTTTTTTTGTCAATTCATTTTTAAGGAATATCTAACGACATTTACGCATTTAAAACATTTCAATTCTAAGTTGAGGTCATTTTATATTATTTAAGAAATTTTTTTTCCTTAATTTTTTTAATTTATTTTAGGGTGTCAAAAGCATAAATTTCAAACTAACCTCCGACCGGAAACTAGGCGCGCAGACCTCCGCGAAATGTTTGTTCAGCAAGTACTGGTTCAAGGAGATCTCCTTGTTCTCGCTGCGATACAGAGTAAGCTCCACCACGTCTTCCACCACCGAATATACCTAGAAATTGAAAATTCTCGTTCTATTACTTCCGGGGCCCTTATTCCTGACCGCGATAGAACTAAAAACCCAAGAGTGCACAATTCCTACTTATTGACAACTAGTAGAATTTTATTTCCCGAACAGTTCTCTCAAGTTATTTTGCAGGAATGAATCAAAGAAAGAGAAAATTAATTCTGACAGTTCCAGCTTTTCAAATGTAAATTTTAGAAAGGATAATAATAATTTATTTTTACGGGAATATATTTTGCGTCATGTTGAAGAATGCCGAAAAATTGTTTAACGTAAAAAAAAATATTTTATATCAGAAATATTTTTCATCACCAGTAATAGTAATTGGTGATGTATAATTTATTATTAGTGGTAATGGAATCCTATCCCCTGTGCTAAGGGAAATGCTCTTGTTTTCTACAAACTTGACCTACATTTTTATTTTTAAATTCACCCAAGTCTAACTTTGATCTGGAGATCTTAATTTTACTGGTAAAAAACTTAAATATCAGAAGAGTTGACTCACTTTTATACAGACTTTCCATTCTTGGGATAGGCATTTTGAAATATTGGTCAAAATATCGGTCCACTCTACCTAATTGACAGTCATTGTTTTGCTTAGTATTAGTTGGCGACAATTTTGTAGAGAATATTTCTATTCGCGTATGGATGAAATCCAACCATAATTTCTTTTTGGGCGGAGGGTAAGTGGAAATACTGTGTCCCCGTTTTTACATTATCATAGAAAATTACCTAAATCCTTGACTATTTTAGGATAACCTCAAAATAATCACAAACGTTCGCTCGTACTCAACAATGCGGTTTTGCGGTTGACAAACCATGGAATAAATAGAAAGACTAAGAGAGCGTTGTTAGGAAGTGATATTTTATTGCGGTCAAGGATAAGGTTTGGTTTCATTGTGGAGAGGGGAGTCTTACTTCTCCGTACAGCAGGATTCCTTCGGTCAATTTCTTAAAGTCAGTGTTCACTTCTTCGTCCCAAACACCCGACGGATTGAAACGAAACGTCGGTTTCACGCCGTGCAGCTCGCACTTGAACGCAAGCGGCGCTATCACGCACTGTGGCCGTTGCGGTACGTAGTACAGCTCGTCGGTTTGCACCTCTTGTAGGTTGCCGTAGTCGATAAATCTGATCTGCGCTGGCGAGCAAGTACCCGGACACAAAAGATAATAAAAAAAAATCACAAAAACCAAAATTAACGCTATAAAAGAAAATTTAAAATCAATTAAGAAAACGAAAGAAAAAACCAAAGATAAATGGGTCAAAAGAATGGAAAACAGATAAATGGGCAAAAAATGATCGCCTTATAGTACCACGAATGCTTCCAAAGTTCTGAGAATTTAGCTATAATTTTAATCAATATTACAATGTGGTTTGCCGCCATTAAAGAACTTTTTTGGTGTCTCCTCAATGCAGCTTGATGGTACATTTTGCGTCAGTTAAACTTTCAGATGAAACTCTCCATAAGGGTTTTCTCAAATTTGGTAACAGCGTTAATTATAGTAGCTAGTACGACAGATTTGGAACCGTAGTATCAACTTTACAACAGACGGAACTGCAGCAGCCTTAATTTTCTTTTTTGTAAGTTTGCGCCATGCATTGGATCAACTTTTGGTGTCAGGGATTAAATAGGGAATGCAACCCGGTTTTAAAACGATCGATAAACAGAACTTTTCCATTCTACACACTTACCAAATATTCCTTGCAGCAGCTGAATAATTTTTTTAGATTTTCACAACTTTTCCATAGTTACAAAAGATGTTCTATAAAAGCGCGTCATCTCATTAGAATACCTAAATCAGAATCAACAATATTGCAACTAGCTAGTTGCATAAGCACGTCAAGACTGGTCTGGAGATCTAGAGATAACCACAATTACGTCACATGTACGTAGTAATGTAAGCTTTGCTTAATACGTGATAGTCTGACATTATCACCAAATTTTTTTCTGGGGTCGGCGGAGCAAAACTTGGAAATCCACAAAAGGCACAAAAGGGTACCCTCTATAAATAACCAAATTAAACAAAACAAGAATCAAAAGAAAGGTAGAAAGTCTGAAAAATAGATGAACTCATAAAACAGTACAGACCAAGCTGATCTATGCAATTTCTCTGTGGTGTGCTTTACATGTTAGATTGATAATTAATAATTTATAAATAGTCGATAGGTGGATTATGGTGTAATACTCGTTTCAATGAGCAAATATATAACCATCTCAGGCAACTAGGTGCTATTTACTGGATGTACATTTAAATATTATGTTAAACCGTTTGTAAAAAAACGCTTTTGTAAAAATTGTAGTTACTATAAATTGAAAGAAAAAAGGCGACACAGACCTGATGGACCCGCCCGCCCGTCGTCAGCACCTTGCATCTGTAAAACTGGCCGTCCTCCCTGAACCTGGCAGCATATATCTTGTCCAGTTTGACTGTCTCGGTCACCTGCATCAGCACCTGCTTATTAAGAGCCTCATCGATCTGCTGCAGGTACACATTCGTTTCTTCGGTAGCGTTCTGCGCCCAGAAATTCCCCGTGTTTATAAACTGAAACAAAGAGGTGGTTGCATTTTAAAGGTTGCCGAACGCTGCAGCACCCCCTGACGTACGTTTGATATATGTAGCGAGATGAAGGTAGTGTCCATCGTGGGTAACGGCGAGTACTGCACCGACGAGTAGCAGTTCCGTCGCTCCTGGTACAATGCCTTGCCCGACGGCATGTTCCGACGCAGGCCGTGCTTCTCGGCGAACTCCCACGCCTCGTTGAACCTGGAAACGCCCCGCGACCCGTTATTAACAGACTGATAAGCCCCGCCCAATCGAAAGATGACGTATAATTGAGACTGCAATCGATGACGGTCTGTCTTCGGCTTATTTTTTTGTTTTCTTAATTAATTAATTAAATAAAAGGACAAGGGACAAGGAACTTGTATTTAGTTGTTTAATTCTCATATTCGCATTGATTGATAAAAATATATAGGGTGTAAAACAATTCTGTGTAGAAACGGTGGAATATCTCAAACAAAAAACAAACTATTAATATTAAATGAAATATTCTTCAATAAGACAAAACATGTCCCCCGTTTTCCCCAACCACTGAAACCATAAATGGAAACCCCCATTTTTTATTATAGAATCGGAGTTTATGGCACAAAAACCTCAAGTTTTCTTTTGGATTTTCTGGTAATCGCAAAAAACGACTTACCGTATTTCTCAAGAAAAAAACTGTCAATGCTATGAATCTAAATTTAGTGTTATGATACCTTCATTTTATATATCCCTCTAAATATCGTTTATAAATGAATGTCTAAAGAATGAATTTCTGAAGAAGTTTATAAACAGCTTGCTTACTATACTATTTTTATGACGCCATTAATTTTTAAGTAACCAGTGATGTGTGACCTGACCAACAGAACTGACGTCAAAATACCATCAGTATTTTAAATATATATAGCGGACATATAGGGAGTAGAAAAAATATATTAAAACATAGGTATGATAACACCAAAAGCGGATTCATAACACTGACCAGTAAACTTTTTAACAAATAGGATAAATCGTCTTTTCGTGAACACAGCGCCATCTTCCGAAAGTTAAGAAGGAAAATTCGGACACCCGATGTTTTTGTGACAGAACCCAAATCTGCAATAGAAAATTGTGCTTCCATTTAAGATTTCAAAGTTGCTTCCTTTTTTTGGGGTGGGGGTCACCTTTGGTGTTACAATTTTTTAAAGACATTTTTTTTGTTTTTTGATCAATTGTGTAACTCTCGAAATGTTCAAACTTTTCCATACTACGCCTCCGTTACGTTTATAGGAGGTTGTCGTCATCGCGTCCACCCACTTACGGCAACACAGTCAGCTGGAACGGGTAGTGCAGCTGGCGCTTGCGCAGTATCTCGTATACTGGCAGCGGCACGCGTCCCGGTACATTAGTCAGCCTCTTGTGGCCATCAACGTTGACGGTGATCGGTTCGCGCGACACCGCCCCCTTGAACTCGACGTAGATTTTCCTGAAAAACGCGCAATGACGGTCGCTGTGATTGTCATCCGCGACGTTGCCGCTTTGCACTCACGAGCTACCGTCGAAACCGATCTGCACGTCGGTCTCCCGTTCGCCGTCCTCTCGGATGAGCCGTTTGATCGATCTGACGTACACCTGACCCGGCTGCTTCGGATCCATCCCCGTGAAGTACACGGTGGAGAAGGGGTCCCGACCGCCCACCGTCTTTACCGCCTCTCGTTCTGTCATCTGGCTCGAATCAGGCGTTTTGATGAAGAAGTTCGGGTAGAACGCGCCCGCCACTATAACCTGTCAATTTTTCCAGATTTTTTGTTTGCAAAATTTTGTTTGTTTAATACAATTGATCTTTACAACGTTTTAATCATTTTAAATTATGCAAAGTTCCTCTCTTTCTCTCTATGTGCTTAATCTCTCATTAGAATTATAACCAGTTGAAAAACAGACATAATAGTACGCCTAGATGCACTCCTACTCTGAATGATTCTACATTTAGAAGGTGAGATAAAACGTCCTCTAAATATAGGACTTGAACACAGAAAACGACCGAGGTTGGTGTTGTACACAGGCACCTCACTGAAAAACCGACTAAAGACGCCATCTTCGCAGTCACACGTATAACGCTTTTAGCAATGGAAGCGTGAAAATAACTACGATTCGGCCACTACTACAGCATATTATTCTTAGATGATAACTTAATGGTTGACCACACCCACCTCTGTAACGGTTCATCCGTATGAACAGCTTAAACTAGTATATCAGAGCAGTAGTCTTCGCTTAATTTACACTGGAAACGGACCTGTCCAAAATGTGGTGTACTAACATTCAAAGAAACATTGATATACCTGCTGCTGCGCGACCTCGTATCATTTTACCAACTCTGACGACCTTGGCCACCCACCTTTAAAACCATCGGCTTCTCTGTATCGCCTAAGGTCACCTTGCCTGGCCCGTCGGTCTCTTTGATCTCCATCCTCTCCAGTCGCTGCTTAATTTCCATGATCAACAGATTCCACTCCTTCAGACCCTTCAGGCTGACCAGGTTGGTGCGGCACCAGAACATCTCTTCTCTATGGGACGCGAACGCGTTCTCCCGCTTCAAATTCACCCACACCGTGTACAGGTTAAGCAAAGCTATCAGGTCGCTGCACGACCCATCAGACCACACCAGCAGCTTGCGATAAGCGTCCAATCGTCTCTGAAACGGCACGGAAAATATGTTCTGGATGGAGCATCCGGCGGCTGCGAATTTGTCCCGTTAGTAACAGTCCACGCCCACTTATGCCCTCACCTATGACTATAGTCTCTTCAAGACAGCTAAACAACTGACCCAATACAATCAGCTTGGCCAGATGGACGTCTAGGGGAAGGCCTGCCATCACGCGACCCAAAAAGGTTATGTCGCCGTCAGCGTTCGCGGGAACGCCGCGACACGTCTTCAAGAGACCGCCGATCTGAAACAATCGTCCTGGTAGATACAATTGAACTGACGGTAGACGTCCCACCACGTCCCACCGTTTAAACTAGTTTAACCTATTCGATGGGCCGGGAAGACGTTTTCAAAGAACGGGATAATTACCGCCCGAGTTTATAGTTGACTAAACGACCAAAAATCAGACGGTTAGTATTACGTAATTTAATTCCTACCGGCGTTGCTAATAAGCGTTGACGATTCGCAGTAATACACACATAAATTTGAACAGGTACAAATGAAACTATAGGATATTTTATTGTGCAGAGGCAAGGTAGAGATGAAATTTTTTGAAAGGGCGGGATATTTAAAGCAAATATTAGGAAACATGTTAATTTTTCAAAGAAAATTTCACAGGCTACTGTAATGCTTTTTACAAAACTTCTGGATTCCTCCTACGGTTTTTGCTTCTCATGCTATTTTAAAAAAAACATAGCCATTTTAATGGAATTACATGAAAAGGAAAAACAAGAACAGAAAATAACTCCAGTCGCACCTCCTTCAGCAGCCAAATGGTGGTCTCGATGTTCCTGAGGGCGGGTGGACTCATCGCCAGCGCCAAGATCTGCGCAGGCGTCTCGTCCAGCTCGAGCATTTTCGCCTGCAAAACGACGTGTTCCAGTGGCGAGTTGAGGATCTCTGGCGTGCCGTGGCGGTTCATTTCCATGTAAAATTCGCGGGTGACCAGTCTGTAGACGCGACCGTCGCACGTCCTCCCTACCCTGCCTGCCCTCTGGTCACAGTTAACATGCGACGCCCATTCCAGCTTCAGGGTCGAGTATTTTGTCTCCGGATTAACAGTCATCACTTTAGTCTGACAGAAATCGATCACTGGAACGTAAGACACGCTCCTTAAGCAACCAGTGAACCACCGAGTCCGGGCCACTTCTTACCGAATGACGAGTCAGGCACCGTGACCGAGCTTTCAGCGATGTTGGTCGACAAGATGATCTTTCGGGTGTTGGACTTGGATGGCATAAAGGCCCGAGCTTGCTCGTCGTTGGGTAGTGACGAGTGAAGGGGTATGATATCCCATTTCTTGCCATCGCTACAGATTGAGGAAGTTGCCTAGTTTAAGGAACGAACGCTAAGAGAGGGGCCGATACTTACGGGTCCTCTTGAGCAAGACGGCTATGCGCCTCTTCGATTTCATAGATGCCGGGCAAAAAGACGAGCACCGTGCCGTTACGGTTCATACCTGAGTCGCCTCGCTCGAGCCGGTCAAAGATGGCAACCAGGAACAGGAACACGTTCCACACCTCGTTTGATATATTCGGCCGCATTAAGTCAAGTTTTGGCATCTTTGGAATAAAAGCAAAGCGTGATCGAAACGTTGCCATGAGTATATATGGTTGTGACAGGTTATATGTTTACCGAAAACGAAACACTGTTCTAAATCTAAATAGTTCTAAATCACCAAAGGATTTTGTAAGTCTTTGAATATCTAGTATCGTGGTTTTCAATTTTTGAGAACATTTAGTTGCTGTTTCCTCTTCACTATTTTTGTATCTTTAATAAAAAGAAATATAAATTTAATATCGCCCTTTATGTCCACGATTTGACAGGGATTTTTTTGGATGTGATTTTTGAGAAATTTGCCATAAGAACTTATTTTTGGAAAATCTGACTGGTACATACTACAGTTATTTTCATAGTCATTCCTGAGTCTATTGAGAATGTGACCCAAATAAATATTTAATTAATTAATTATGATAAAGTGCTACAGAAATTAACTAATAAAATGAGCTAACCAAAAAAGTAAGATTTAAAGGATTAGTGACTTTATTTTCAACCAAACAGTTTTACATCATACCTTTAATTATTCTTGTCTTGCCTTAAATAAACAAATAAATAATCAAGGAAAACCTTACACTTCACCCATTCAAAACAATCAATCATAAATTTGAAGCTTACAATTTGTTCTGAACGAATAATCCCTGAATTGATTCCAGAATCTGTCAACAATTTCCAAATAAGAAATTTAATACTTTTCTTTAGCACACAAATTTTTTTATCCAGATAATGTAATAGTTCATATAACCAAGACGAGGCAATTTAAAGTTCATGGTTTGTTTGACGCTATTAAGGTTAAAATGAGGATAAACCGAAAACTTTTTCTCTTACATTTTGGCTGATCTTGTCAATCTGTTCCAGATAAAAAATGGTTTTGGTGTAGGGACTCTCCTTGTTGATGGAAATGATAGGCGCCCGAATGGTCTGCCCAAAGGTCTGTCTGCGAAAATAATATGCAAACTCGTCCGCTTTTATGGTGGCTGACATCAGCACAATCTGAAACCATAATTTTTTTCATAGGCCCCTCTAATGGAAATCATCATTTCACCTTCGTTTGTGGGGAATTAGTAAATAAAAATTTGCGAACAATCAACAGGAGGAAATCGAGCTCCTGGTTGCGCTCGTGCACCTCGTCAATAACAATATGGGTGTATTGTCGCAAAGACTTTGCCTGTATTAGTTTCTGCAGCAGCACCCCGATTGTCATATAGGTGATGATGACGTCTGGGGACAACTTCTTCTCTAAACCAACCTGATACCCGCAAACGGTTCCTAAAGCCCAGCCTCTCTCCTGACAAACCCTTTTGGCAACGTTTATCGTAGCGATTTTTCGCGGCTGAGTGACCACGATGTTGCAGTACATATTTTTCTCGCGAAAACTGTCCATAATCATCTGCGGCACTTGAGTGGTCTTGCCGCAACCAGTCGGGCCCTCAATAACTATCACCTGATTAAGATCGATCCTCGACAGGATCTGTTGTTTGTAAGAGTCGATGGGCAGTTGCTTCTTTATGTCCGTGTTTAGTTTGAAATTGTAAGTGCGGTAGACTTCGGCAGGCAAGCTTTTCCTACCCGTGAACATGCTATCGACTTCGGAAAACCCTGTAAAGGTGCTCTAAAATCAGGGCAAAAAACAAAATCAAAGATTCTATATCAACAGCAGAACATAAAACAAGTCCTTTACCACATCGTCAGCAAATCCTTTAGGCAAACCAGTGTTCGTTGGTTCCCCATATCTTTTAAGTTCCTTTTCGACAAACTTTTGTTCATAGAGTTTGTCGGTACACTCGCCATCGTCGCTGTCCGAACTATCAAAGTCGTCGTCGCCGTATGAGACGCATATCGCTCCGTTTACTCGACCAGTGGGATAAGTAACATTTTTACCCACTTTCTGCAGTAATTGGTTCATAACTAGAGAAAACTAGCAATACCCCCTTATCTACAGTGTTACTAGAATTACATCGAAATAAATTGTTCCAAGATTGCTGGGTCGGAAAAATAAATTAAAATCTAAAATCCAAAAAATTCTATTCAACCCCTGTTTTATATTATATTAGTAATATAATAATCCTCACAGACTACACGAATTCAATTTCGTAAATATCGCTGTATTTTTACCTGGTCAGTTTTGAACTTTTCAAGTTCAACTGAATATTATTAGTTCTGTAGAATACCTTAGACGTATGGCAGTTAATTTATTTTACGTCTGGGATAAATTGTAGGCCATATAATTTGCGGCTCATTAATTCGCTTGCTTTGGCCGCATTGCCCTGAGGTTGTGTCCCGCACAGGCGAATCGGTTTATAAAAGGAGGAGGAGCAGACGGGTTCTCTTTCTCGCTTTCGCGCGGATGTGGTGGGTGATTTTAAGAAATAAAAGTATTCCGAAGCGTCCCGGTGTGTACATTAACCAAAATAAACCGACCCGAAGGATGGCCATCAAAATTCTGCTTTATAGATGGATAAACATTAAAGCACAGAATACTACAATATTGTTTGGTGCTTACAGAATTCTTTGGTTAGGGCTCGGTTACTTTGGCTCACCACAAAAGCGTCGGTGTGGTGGTGCCAGCCAGCTTCCAGAAAAAATAAATCCAACACTTTTCGTGTTTATTTCCCCCTGTCCTTGTGCGCAATAGTAAAGAATACAGTTTGTACCCGCGAGGGTAACATTCGCAGAACTTTGTTTTTAAAATAATGTAGTTTTGTTAACGTTTATTAGTGTGTTCTTTGTAACAAACCAACTCCGCTGTATAGAAAAGCAGTTTCATCCCAATGTTATGATATTATTTACCGTTTTTTTTATATAGATTAATCCATTTAACATCGTCCCTTGCATCGTGCTTGACTGAAACATGAGTTTGCACCTATAAGAGATTAGAATTAGCGGAATGCCGTTCTGTGTCGAACCCAAAGTCTTTTCGGAACCCCGGGTAACAAAATTTAGGGTAACATGCTCCACAATTTATTTTGTGGTTACAATACAAAATGATTCATCAAAATTTATTTACTGACTAAAAAAAAAGTAAGAGCAAATAAAAAAAATGCAGAAAAGGTGTTTGCATTATTCCTCTACGTTTAGAGGGGTGCCCAATTTGTCTTCTAAAATTTACATATTAAAACAAAAAAAAACCTAACGTACTTTTACATTTAATATGAAGTTCAGAAGTAGAATGATGTTATGTGAAATTGGAACTAGTGTTGTGTCAATCGTTCATTTTACGAGGACCGAATCAATCAGGTAAAAGTAAACGACATATTTGATTATTCTATATAATATATTTCTTTTTAATATCGTAATTTTATACAAGTCTCTTTTGCATGTATATCATAATTTTACGAATATTTAAATATACAAAATATAAGTGCTCAGGAATTTTGTTGGTGCGTTTTTGATTACTTATGTCGACGTTACATCCTAAAGATAGTAGCTAAAGTTAGGGATATATTTGAACACAAATTTCACATTTACGTTGGTACACAATATAGTAGTTGTAAAGTTCGCATTTAATCGCATATGAATACGTTAATTTGTTAATTAACTTGGTATTTGTATAACGAACTAAAGAATTCGGAGTTTATTGTATATAAGTCTCTTTCTGCCGTTGTAAAACATTTCGATTGATACTCGAGAAACATACACTTGCAATTTATTTTTTTTCTATATCTCGGCGCTTTCCTCTAAACATATTTATATAATGTATTACACCTACACACAAATACAGGGAAGTCTCTGACTAACGCTAGTAGTACACATCCACAAGTACGACAAATAGAAATCCGTCCATTTCTGGGTATCGTCAAAGGCAAACATACGTTTTTCAGTCTAACAACCGGGAAGCAAAGCGTTCCCGTTTTCCGCCATACTTTGTTGACAAATATATAGCTTAAGCGCGTCGTACGCCGTAAGACGTAATACGTAAGGAACAAAAATGGATGACATTAAAATAGTGCGAAAATCATTAGGCGTATTGTATAATATTATATGGTTTATTTTCGGCCGTAGACATACATATAGAGCTTGTAATTCCTACAAATGGAGGTAACAGTTTCGCTAAGTCTCAGAGTCTGTCTCTAACAAACCCATATCGGAAAATATGAGATCATTAGGAAAGCAGATTAATTTGTTACTAGTTTACAAAAACTGGATATAGGACCCTATATTATTTACATGTTTAATGAAAATGTTGCGTTTGCAAATTTCATTTTCGCAAATTTGTGAGTGGATTAGCGATTTAAAACCCAAGGGGCGTAACACATATTATCGACAAATGATCCGATGTAATCCTAATGCAAACACTAAAGTGCCTAAACATTTAGAAAAATATATGTATATTATGTAGCTGCATTTTCGTTTCTCTTGCAATCAACGAATGTCGTCGCCTTTTGCTCAAACATCGCGAATGCAATATGCGTATGCTCTAAAGTAAGCTGCGTATAAAACCGCTACTTATACATAGTCAGGAATTTCGTATAATTGTGACAGACGCTATTTTAACAACAAAAATACCTGTATCATTTGGCATTAAATTTCGATTGAAATCGTACGGTGTTGCCGTCATTTGCACGTATTGCGTTCCGATGAATCGAAATAAAAGGCACCCCAACACGTCATTGTTAGAAAATTATATCCCCTTTTGTTGTTTATTATTGCGCGACTCGTACGTGTATCTCGTTGAAATGTAGTGGAGGTGAGAGAAAAAAAAATACCCTTCACGTGGCACTGCACTCAAAAACGACATCCTCTCTTTTTCTCTTTTCCTCGATTTTACAATATGGTACAAGCCGACCCGTGGATAACTTCAGAAATAAACATAGGCGTGCCCGCCCCTAAACCACCGTCCGTTTTTTCCTGCTCGTTTTGTTCGTACTCGCAGTCGAAGTAATGACTTTGACAGTCGAGGCATCGACACTGGTCCGACATCTTACACGTGATGCCGAATTGTTTCGCTACTGCTTTGTACAGCTCTTTGCTCGACTTGTGGATAATTTCAACGCTTTTATTGGCCTCTGTGGGAGACTGATCGCTTTCCTGAGCTTTCTGTCGGTTCTGCAAAGGTAGTCAGCGTCAAGCACGTATACAAGGTGCTTTCAAAGTACTCGACCAAACTTTATGGGGCGATATTAAGATAAAAAATATCAAACAGTAAGTGTTTTGTTTTCAGAAATTAAAATTGACTTTTTATAAATACTTCAATGATCTTCCGTCCGATTTAGTTGAAATTTGATGGTGGCATTTGTGGTAACAATGGGCTTTAGTCCCGATTAGAATGAAGTTATTGAGTCCAGAAATACGCCCTTAACAAAAACAAAATTGCGCCACCGACTTCTTTTCATTATTATCATTTTTTTCGGAATTCGCATTCAAAATCTCACGTTTTCTATTCCTTCAGTTTTTCCATACCTCGTAAAGTTTGTTTGTGATTATAAATGTTTTTTAGTTTTTGCTATTCAATTTTATTTTTTTGTACCGAAAACCAAACGAGCGACATAAACAGGAAAACAATACTGATTAAGTTTGCCACCACAGTTTTTGTTTATCATTAAATAAATCATCTCTCGAAATTTGGAGAGCTACTTAAAAAAAACCTATGTAATTATCGTTTGTTTACGAGGCATACAGGGTGCTTTTCTTCAGGCAAGTTGAATAATATCGACATAATAGTTTTAACCTAGTTTGCCAGGGCTAACTGTAAGATACCTAATTACGCACCGATCTAGTGTGCGGGAAGCGTCACTTTACCACGTCAGTTCCCACGAATCGGAGTCACTTCGGACATTTCCGGGATTTTACCGCACGGGCTTGGGAGCAATCCGATGTTCTCGGAGATATTTCCCAGGGTTTCAATTTTGACGTTTGTCAATTCTGACAGTCATGTAAGTGAATGTATTCGTGTTTTGCAAAAATGTACGCAAAAATTAAAGGTCGTAGAGAAAGTGTAGTATGCAACACGTTCGGTAAACTTTTTAACTCATTCGTTTATTAAACACTCGCTCCGCTCGTATCAAATAAACTCGCGAGTCAAATGCCGTTTACCGCAATTGTTGCATAATATACTATTCTCTGTGCAAAACATAGATGCAGGTACAAATTCAAACAAATAAGTTAATTCCATACCTCCCTGTATGCCGGCAGTCGTCATTTTCAAAAGTTCGACCGAAGAAAACAGCGATTTCAAATCGCGACGAGGTTCAGATTCGATTAAGTAAATTACGCGATGTGACAACAACACAACACACCCTGTATATTCGCAGAGGTCTCACCTCTTCCAAGACGTGTTCATACGAAGGCGGCGGACTCGACGGCACGAACTCTTGGTTCTCGCCCGATTCAGGTACCGTTTCGTGAAGGATGTCGTTTGTGACGCCCTCTATCGGCGACAGGGCGTCGGCGTCCACCTCCGTGGGTGTCTCGATCGAGCCGCTTTTGGACAGCGAGTTCGACTTCGACATCCTGCTGAATTTCATTAGCTTGAAGGGCGCCAGTTTGACGGCAGCTTGGGTGTTCCCTTTGTATGACGTAGCTCAGTAAGCTACGTCATTGTTCTCCACGACCTTGAATCATAGATTAATTTACCGACACCGAAATTGCGTTTTTTTTGTTAGGAAAAGGCCTCAGAGTGCCTCCGGTAGAAGGTAGTCAAATAAGTAAACTACATTTCGTTCCACATAGCTACTAGAGATATAGTGGCCCTGAATATACTGACATTACAGGAACTTATGAAGCAACTATGGAAAAAATTTTGAGAAGGTATTTGAAGCCAATAGCCAAACAAATTGTGGTAAAGGACATTTAATATGCGCCTGCGCGATTATTTAACATTAACATGGGTGCTGACAGTGCGTCAATTCAATGTTCAGGAAAAAAAAAACGATTTACGAGTGCGGAGGTTGTTGTTTAGAAAGAAACTGGCATCAAGTTCAGGTTAGTGTGTGACATTTATGGTCATGAGCTGAAAGTTCTTCATAGGGGTCTAAGGAGCGTGAATTTTACAATATTAACGGATCCTATATTAACTAATAGTTGTTCACGTTGATCATACAGATTTCGGAATTAATTGTCATTACGTACTGTTTCCACTAAACAGACCAAACAGAAACAAAACACTAATTCGTGTCGAATAAAACAAAACTGCAACTTTTCGCTAATTTTTTGAAGACTGCCGTTTTATGCGATAAATCAGCTCATGTCTGGTTTTTCGGGTCTCACTCGGAAGCGGTAAAATCAAAAGTTTTAAACTTGTTTCAAATCTCTTTGATTTAGTGCAAACGGTTCTTGTTTTCTATTTTCGACTTGTATTTGGCTTCATTAATTTGGAAGCGGATTTTTTGCCAGGTTGGTAGGTCAGTACAATATAGTATTTTTATAAGGAATAGAGGATTTATCCTAAATGCTAGAGAAATGTAATATATATACATATAATAATAATAATAATAATACTAATAATAATAATAATAATGTTTATTTTTCAAGATACGTACACGCCAAGTTATATAAAGCTATACAAAAGAATAATAGACTTTGAAGCAGCTTCCTTTCCAAAAGAAGATGCTGTTGAAACCAACTAAACTTATAACATAGAAATAATATATATTACAACATTTCATATTCCCCTTAAATACCGTGTACCGTATGTAGAGAACGCTATAAAAGAATGATAAGATATAAAAAAAAGAAGAAAGAAAGAAGACAGGGCTACAGGAAAAAACATGTTTCTTAATTTAAATTAAATGCTATGGTACTTAATAAACAATTGTTAAAATGCCGTGCTAACTATGAACGTGTCAAAAAATTACATTTCATGTGTCTTTGCCAATATATTGGGTAAAATCATTTATTTTATATTTATTAATTATAAACTCAATCTGATAGGAGAGCACGTTTTGACAAATTATTTTTTATGAACAGGTATAGTTAACAAATGTTGTCTACAAATATTTATGTTGTGAACATCCGTACGATATTTTAGTTGTTCATGAAAATAGGAGGGACATTTTGACTTAATTATACAGACATACCGAATGCAAAGCACGTCGCTCAACCATCGAAGGTCATCCCAACTCTTCCAGCTTATAGGAAACTCTTTGCCTTCCCCAAATTGCCTTATGTAAGAATTTTGGACTTTTTGTATCTTTTTAATGTTAACAAAACCCAGTATATTGTATATACAAAATTAAAATGTGATAGTAATAATGTTCCACGCAGAAGTTTTTTGAGATAAGGAATGTCGGTGCGAATATAATAACTTCAGCTTTGAAAATGCTCTCTTCATACATAAAGTTCTGTGTTCTGTAAATTTTAAACTAACATCAATAACAAGACCTAAGTTTTTGCATGAATTTTTGACTGAAATTGTACTGTTCTCCAATCTGAGTCTTATGGATTCCGTAAACTCTTCTCGAATGTTATAACAGGGCTACAGATTTGGATGGATTCACTTGAGGACGGTGCTTATCACAAATTTTTAATAGATTGTCAAATATATACTTTGACAGGTTTTCTGAAAATTTGGCCAAATCTCGCTTTGGGAAACCGAGTTAAGTTTTTGGAGATTGCTGTTTGAAAAAAAAAGGCGCAATGTGCAGGCGAGTTTGAAATTTATGGGCATGTGCGGAAGATCATTCACTTCTCTACTAAAATATCATAGCGCATCAATTTTTACCGGCACTATATTGTCCATTACGGTTGTTACTTCATCGGAAAAATCAGTGATAAGGAGTTGTAGGTTTGTTTCAGTTTTCTTTTTGTCCTTTAGTTACAAAAATACAAACAAAACATAAACAAAAATAAACAAATAAAACATAATATGGTGCATTATTTTTCGGTCGATGGTGCGCATTCTAAACAATGAATCTGTATTAATTAATTACATCCATGGTGAAATCCACTCTTAGATATGGTTATGAATATCTCGGGAACACCACTAGATTTGATAGAAAACCCGCTTTACACGCAAGAATTGGAAGCAATGAGAAAACTGTTGTCACCTATACCTATTAGGACGATACAGTTAGGAACTTTAAAAGCACTGTCGGTTTCCCCATGAGGATTTTTCCTTAGACAACTACAACCGTTCCAGAGACCTACCGAAATAGCACAAGGACGTCCGTAAAATGTCCTCGGGATATTTGACCGGACCTGGCGTAAATCCTAGGCATATACTGTTTCAGCTAAGTTTTGGTTAAGACTTCTCACGGATATACGATGTTACTAATTGGAACGTCCACAGTATATCAGTTACGGATGTCCGTAGGATGTTTGTTAGGACATACTAAGGATATCCAGTTATACTACTATACTGTGAGGATATAGGATCTTATATGGATATACCAGTGGACCTTACTTATTAGGTTATTTCCAACAGCCTATGCGAAATGCTGGAAAAGTAAAGTAAAGTGGTCCAATTGGATGTACGACTACAAAAATTCTATCCCACTATTTGGTACTCGCGTGTGATGGAATTAACCTATTGGGTATGGTTGGTGTAGTCATCACTGGAGCAGCAGGCGACATTTGAAATGCACAAGTTTTTTCCAATTAATATTTAATCTTTAAAATTGAAGGACTGCCGATTGATACCAATAATAAAACACATTTTATACACATTTTTTTCTATCGTAAATATGAAAAAATTGTAGCTATATAATATAGCAAACATATAGAACAGCCTAACCTAAAGTATCTTAAATACAGAGTAAGATACTATATCTTCTGTCATTCTTTGGTGAAAGTAGCTCTTTTCAACCAAGCAGCTATTGAATTCTCAGATTCTTTTGAGGTTTGTGATGCGTTTGCCTTCTTATCCGCACCTGAAAAAAATTTTAGTTTTGAGAAAGACAGGTTTTACATATCTGTACTTTATAAAAAAAAACAAGACTGGTATCTCATATGTTAAAAAAACAGATTTAAAAAATTCCTACATCCGCCTTTTACGTTAAGGCTTGAGTTGACGCTGATAGTACTCTCATGAAAGTGATCTAAGATGCTAATCTCCATGGTGATGTAGGTACATACATATTTATGTAATTCATTTCATTAAATACTTATTAAACAATCATTGGTAAAATCTCTAAGATACTATGTATATATATATATATATATATATATATATATATATATATATATATATATATATATATATATGTGTTCGAAGTGTTTTCGGAGCGCGAGCATTGAAGATGCCAAGTGAGATTTTGGCGAAACGTCTGCAGGATTCCAGTCGGATGCAGGATTTGCAGGATTCCAGTCGGATGCAGGATTCCAGTCGGAGTTCAACGAGCGAACGGATGATATCCCGGAGTATAGTGTCATCATATATATATATATATATATATATATATATATATATATATATATATATATATATATATATATATATATATATGTCTAAATAAAATTGCTCAAAAAACATGAAAAGAAAGTGGATTTTATTTTTGTTTTCAAAAACAAAGCAATAAGATACTATATTTTAGGTATATATACTCGGTCCAGTAATCACTCCTTTAAAAAGGTATCAACTAAGCAATCGCCATAATATATATATTTTTTCAAAATAATAAAGCTACTTACCAAATATTAATTTGGTCAATTTTAATTTTGAAAATTTGTCCTTTTTCTTCATGGCCAACCAGTTAAAGTCAATTGAAATCAGCGGGGTCAGAGCTTGTTTTACAAACTCATAACTGCCGCCGCCGCCTGATCTTGCTATCTCGTTGACCTAGCAAAATAGTAAAAAACAAGGCATGATGTTGGTGGACTACAGAACAATGCTTTATTCAGGTTGGAATTTATCGAATCTTATGTTATATATTACCATAAAGCTTTACTTACATGAATTATTAGTTCTTGAGTAATAATAATACCACAAAAAAATAATTTAAATGAAAGCACTGAAAACAGTAGGCACAACACACAAAATACTCAAAACAGACCCCAAGTCGCCGTATACCGTATACCGCCAACAAAAACAAGGCTGAAAAGATGGCGGACGACGGACGGAGGAGAAGTCGATGAGACTCGAACGAGTCCGGCACGTCACGACCGCGAATAGTTGCGTCATTGGTTGCAGTCGAACGGTGTTTTTTTTGTGTATTTTTTTTACTTAGATGAATCCGTATTTTCTATGGTATTTTTATTAAAGAAACGTTTCTTGTCTCGTTGGTGTCCAAAAAATAATAAAAACAAGTTGATTTTAAAGGTTTGATTCCGGTTCTTTTTTAGGACTTGCCAACACTGACGGCGATGCACAAAAACGTTGACAATAAAATGTTTCCCAAAACACCACAAATCTAAATCTCGGTTGTTCAAAAAATTTAAGCTTTTACGTTTCATTTTGTTTTACGGTTTTTGACTTCACCTAATGTTTCCATTATGGCGCAAGGAGATATTCTCAGGCCATCTATTTAGAGGATATCTGAGGTATATTGTGTACAGCAAGCTATCCATTCAGAGATGTATTTTACAGTATGTTCTTAGTATATATGCTAACGTATATCCTAAGAATATCCTCGACATGTCTCGCGACATGCGACTTCAATGGGATATTGACCGGATACGCCAGGAATAATGTGTGCTATCTGGGTAGGGTCCCGCGCCACCCTTACAACGGATCTTATATGGACACCCTGTATTAGAACTTGTTATTTTCGCGGTACACGGAATTTTTTCAGGCCGGTAAACACCGCCGCCCTCGTCCGTCCGCCCCGTTATATCGATTTACCCCACGCGCACCTTACAAAGCTGCCTCCGGGCCGCCACAACACCAATTAATATCACAAGATAATTACCACCCGATTACCGGCCGATGATAAATCGACTCCGGACTCGAAAAAATAACGCCCGAAAGGGATTTTCGGCAACGGCAACGATATAATAGCGTTGTGACTGGCGCGATATTTTTCTCGAAGGGTAGGCCGTGGAAGCAAATCTACATCGTCAAACGTCAACAAGCCGCTTGCTCCTTGCATCACGATAACGTTTCCAACACTTTCACCTACTCACCGCGAGGAGTTCCTTCACGTACGGGCATCTAAAATTGCTGAAAATCGCCGGAGACTGCGACGAAAGTAAATAACGAATATTAGGCCGACAGTTTAGCCTCCGCCAAGGACGATCATTTTACTTGAGCGAGACGACTGTAGACGGCGCTTCGGTTAAGGGTGGCGGACGAGTCGGTATTTGCGCCGGTGCCGTAGCAGTTGTCTGGACGTCACCCCTTGAGCGATTTTGGCCCAGTTCGCCTATGGGACTAACTAAAACCAAAGATTGAAAAGTTCCAATCGCCCATCTAGGCGTTTCAGTGGGATTAGTCAACTTGGTATTTCTAATTCATAATAGTATTCGGATTTTTATGACAAATCATGTAAGTTGCTGTATATATAGAGGCCGTGATAACAGGAATTGACGCGACGATGAAAAAAAAATGTTGAAATGGGGCATTTAATTAATGTGCGCTTATTTGAAATTTCGTTTTCAACCAATACGATCTGGCGGAGTTTAACAACGAATATGGCCGCTGACAGTTCGTCAGTTTGACAGGTTTCAGTTTAGATGTGACATTTTACTGCAATATTTTCTCAAAATATCCCCAAATGTTGTTAAATATTCTGGTAAAACGAGTTAGTGCATGAAGAACTAGGTTTAGAACGAAAATAAATAAAAATAGAGGTTAGTGGGTGAAATTTACAGGCATGCCAGGGAGATCTACGCAAATATCAAATCCGCCCGACGCGCATCAAGTTTTGTCCTACCAAGGTCACTCTGTTATTTAATAGCTATATGGAAGTTGTAAACAAATGACGTCGATTATACAATTCCTTAATGCCTAAGCGTATTGTTATTTCTTAAAGTACGTCTTGTTGGTATTAATATGCCGGGTGTACCAGCAAGGGCGGTTATTTTCGAGTTTCTGAAATGTCTATCCGGGGGCGTAAGCTGAGTAAATTCAAATGATTTTTGTTTAATGTAGTAAAGTAGTGACAACATTTTTTTAATTAAATGTCTACCAGGTGGCGTTTTCTTTAACAATTTCAACAAAAATAATTTTGTGGAAATAGAATGCAACGATATGACTTACTTTAAGTTATAACTTGATATTTCTGCTCACCAGCATAAAAGATTTTGTACACTTTCCTGAGGAAAATGTTGACCTTTTAAAATTTGTTTTTTTAACCTTCCAAAATTTTATGATTTTTTTTTTGTGACGAACATGCAATCTCTATCATAGTGTTCTGTCCAGAGGTTATTGCGCCTATATGGATGTGCCATAAAATGGCTTAAACTCAAATAGGAACCCATATAACCCACAACACCTCGTAGCATATGAGTGACATCATGGAAAGTAATGTGTGTGAGTAGATTGCGCAAAATTTAGGCATTTTAAAATGGTATAAATAGAATGTCACAACAGGAATGTGCGCAAAATTTGCAATCTGTTGCGCATAATTGTGCAAAATTTGGTTTATAAAAGTTTTAATATGGTTGACTTTGGAAGAGAATTTTCTGTATTTTGGAAGTTCGTACCTAACTTTTGCCAGGAAGCTGCGCAACCGTTTTAAATTGAAGGTGGGTAAAATTTCAAATTAGGTATGCAAAATTGAGCAAAATTCAAAGAATATTATGTGGACGAGCAGAAGACTCTGTTTTTTGATGGGGGAAGAAACATCCAGTTTATTATTTAATGACATAAAAAAAGATATATCGTTGCACAAATTATTTTTGTTGCGATTATGTTAGAAAACGCCAGTTAGTCGCAAGGAAAGCAATCGCAATCGCGCATTGATAGCACGGTTACCTACCTGGTTACCTAGGAAAAATGTGAGCAAGATTTCCTTTGGGTTGTGCGCATTATTTTGATTATTCGTGATAATTTACACGATATATATGTGAGGGAAACATGATGAAGCCTAAGTTGTGGTGCTGTTTTTTGCATTTTTAGATAGATCGTTCTAGCGGTTTCTATTGTGCTTTTGTGTGTAAAGTTTAGATTCTTCTTCAAGTGCCGCCTTCGTTCGGAAGGTTGGCATTAACAAAGTTACGCGTATTTTCGAGACTGCTGTTCTGAACAGATTGATACTGGTGGTGTTGAACCACTCGGGTAGATTTCTTAACCAAGAATGTCTTCTCCTTCTTTTGCTTGAGATTTTTCCTTGCATTATGAGTTGAAGTATTTGATATTTGTTTCATCCTTTTTTAGTAGTTAACTTGCTTCTAACTTTTAACTTTTTTCAGATGATTTTACTACCATATGCTTGATTGGTCAAGTTTTATTTAAAACATCTTCTGAATACGTATTGAAAATGATGGATAAAGGAACAGAACTCTGCCGGACTCCTCTCTTTATTTCTGTTTCCTCTTTGTTATTTTCCTCTTTCCATATTATAGATTTGAAATAATCTTAATACCTTTAGAGTCTAGGTTTTTGTCTTGTACGCGTTTTGTGACGAGCTTTGTGCGAATTTATGTGAATAGTGCTTCACGAGTGCGGAGACTATTTCTAAATCTAAATTGTGTTTCATTGATATCTTGTTGTGGTATTATCGCTGACTTGAAGATGCCATTGCACAAATACACCTGGACGTGACTCCTCTCTTCTTACATGAGTTTAAGAATTTTGGCTGGTAGATTGTCTGGGCCTAGTGCTTTTTTGATCTTCAGTGTATTCAGTACTTTTAAGACCTTTGTTATTTCAGGACCTTCATTTATTTTCATATGTTCAAGATCAACTTTTTGTCTATGATCTTTGAAGAGATTCTCCACAAGATTTTTCCTTGTTCTTGGTGTTTCGTATAATGTATTGGGTCGATTCCGTTTTTTTAGTCCCGTTAGTTTTTTAAGTTTTTTTTATGTATATTCAAGCTGTCATATTTTTGTTGAAATTCTTCAATTTATTCGCACTTTGTTCTATAAAAGATTTGTTCTTGTATTTGCAGTTGTATTGCCTTGTATTGTTCGCATTTATTTGTAAAAGCTCTTTTTTTGTTCATAAGGTGAAGGATTTTATCGGTCATCCACATTTTGCTTTGCCTTCTGTGTTCTCGTTTTACACATTGCCTTCATAGGTTTCATCAGCGCTGATTTAAGATAATGGCATTTTTATTTATACATTGTTCTTTTTGATATTGTTCTTTTTTCTCAAGTGTCTGGAAGTTATTTTTTCTGTAATTGTCCCACATCAATATGGTTTATTTTAGTTATTTTCATTGTTCTTTTTCGTTTGACTTGAACTCGGGCTATCAGTTACAGTCAGAAGAAACGTCTGCTGAAAAGTCATGCTTCTACCGATTTACTATAGTTTATGTATCTTTCTTTTATTAAGAGGTAATCAATTTGATTGTTATCTTGCGGGGATTCCCAGGTATGCAGCTTTCGCATATTAAGTTTGAAAAAAGTGATACTTGTGACGTCTCTTGATTTTGTCGAGGATAGAACCGAGTTTATATTTTCGTAAAACAGCTCGATCTCTTCATCGGGCTTGTCGACTGTGGGAGCAGTCTATTATTGAGCTTGGTCGTGTTTGTTTTAAGTTGTAATTGCATAATTCTGCCTGATATAGGGGCAAAAGTGATCACCGATAACACAAAATTTTTTGGCACAATTACTGCAACTCCATTTCTGTGATTGGAGAAATACATCTTACCATTTGTAGTAAGTATTGAACCGATCAGAGCCTGTCCATTACTAATGTCACTAATACCTAGTATATCTATGTTTAGTCTTTGCATTTCTAGTACTACATTATGCATGTTTCCTGCTTCATACTTACTTCTGACGTTCCATGTAGCAAATTTTAATTTATTTCTTGCTGTGTAACAGAGATTTCGCTAGATGACGATCTGATCTGATAAGTGAAGGTAGTTTTTTTATAGTTGTACAGCCATGATGATTGTACTAGCGAAATCCATGTGGATTCTTAATGTAGTGGTTTCTCTTAGCCTACATCCTTATACCGTTGACTTTCTCAGTTCATCCGGTCTTTGGGGCAGTTTCTTACCCCAAGGACAAAAGAGTGACCTTTCATTCGTCCGTAGCTGTTGATAAGGTGGATGTGGATCGCTTATTCCGGAAATCGTCTATTTTTATATAAATTTATTGACAAACTTGTGTCATATGAAATAACTACCAGTTAAAATCGTAATTGATATAATAGGTGTTCCTAAAAGAAAGCCCATTTTAATTCGCAAGTACGTTATGAATTTTTTTTTGCCTTTTTACCTTTAACGTATAATTTTGACATTGTCAATATTAATCTTGAAAGCGAATGAACTGAGCCATAAACAAGTAAACAACTAGTTAAATAAGAACAAACGTTGTTCAGATTTTCACATAAATATATTTAAATGACAGCTGTTTCGGCAACACCGTGCCTTTATCAAATGCGAATATCAAACGGTACCGATGTTTATAAATACAAAACAGGTAGTAATTACTTAACGCGAGGTATTAAATTGAGATTTAACAAGGATGATCCATTCAAATCCAGTTGGTCATTAAGTAATACATTCGAACCTCTCATTTTATTAATCTCCATAGCTTCTAGTAATTTTAATTTTCTACTTTTCGAAACAGTGTGTAAAATATCGAAATTGTCGTCAAAATTGTGTTTTTCTAAATTTAAATGTATAGCGTAATTAGAATCTGAACTATTGTTTTTAAATGATCGTCGATGTTCGTTGATACGTTTTTTGAAAGATCTACCTGTTTGTCCAATATAAATCTTAGAACATGATCCGCAATTTAATCTATAGACTCCAGAATTCTGGGATCTATTAGATTTAGATTTACTGTTTTTAACAAATTTTCCTAGGGTGTTATTAGTTTTAAAAGCAATTTTGAGGCCACATTTCGAGAGATCATCTGAAACTTTATTACTAGGTTCTCCTATGTATGTTAATGTTTTAAAACCTTGAGATTCAGTAATAGAGCGGGGATATATAGAATTCAAAGTTTTTTGAAATTGTTTCTTAGTTAAGATTTTATCTATCAGTGACGGGTCATATCCATTGTTGAATGCTATTTGTTTTACAATATTTAATTCTTTTTCAAAGTTTATTGCAGAAAGAGGGATAGTTATCAGCCTATGAATAAAAGAATAAATGGCAGCTATTTTGCGTGTATAGGGATGGTTTGAACTCTCATGTATTATAGTGTCTGTGTGTGAAGGTTTATGGTATATTGAAAAATCTAATTTGTTTTGTGCTTTATCGTTAAATCCAAGAAATGTAAAGAGTTATTTTGTTCGATTTCAGTAGTAAATTTTATGCGATTGTGTAAAGAGTTGATATGATTTAAAAAGGTATCTAATTGTCTTTCAGTCCGTACGAAACACGCAAAAACATCATCCATATATCTGTACCACCAAAGAAAACTTTTAAATAACGGATGTTCAAGTATAATATTTTCCAGATTGTCCATAAAAATTTCGGCAAGTAGAGGACTAAGTGGGTTTCCCATAATTAGTCCTTCTTTAGAACTGACCATTAAATTCAAAGTAATTTTGGTCTAAATAAACTATTTTACTATCCAATAAATCTTGTTTAACGATTGGGTTAACTTGTTTTTGGGGTGAGCATGCTGTCTATTATGTTTATTACATCAATAGGTGGAATACTAGGAAATAGATTTTGAACATCGAATGAAACTAATAATGCATTAGGGGGGATATTAATATCTTTGACCTTGTTGACTAATTCAAAAGAGTTTTTTATTAAATTACAACCAAATAGTAGGGACTGGGGGGGGGGGACTTTACGGTTTTTACAGATAGATCTCATTGACCTCCATCTTTAGTAAAAAATTAAACCTTCTCGAAGCAACGAGCAACGAAACAACGAGGAAAATTATGACATCCATGATAATTATGAATTGAGGATATTAACGAGCTACTTAAAAAAAAATGAAAATCTTAATTTTTGAGGAAAATCATGATAAACATGAAAATAATTAATTGAAAATAGGGGGCTGGGGGGGACTTTATAGAATCTGCGGATAGACTTCATTGATTTCCATCTTTAATAAAAATTTCAACCTTCTCAGATCAAGAAAGGTTGAAAAATAGCCTTAAAATCTCATTTTAAATGGAGAAACCGGCTCAAAAATCAATTATCAATTTTAAACGTTTTATATCTCATTTATTGATAACTTTGAGAAATTGAAATTTATATATTAAATACTTTAGTCCTTCCGCTATCCAAAGACACCAAAAAGTTTCAAACAACTTATACCGTTTGTCGTTAGGAACGGTTTCTATGAGAGGCTGCAAATTTTTAAAAAATACTTAATTACAAAGGTTTTCAGAGGTTCGTCACTTATCTAGCAGGAAGCGCCGGATAAGATTTTATTTGTTTATATTTTTTTATTTATCACGCGAGCAGGTTAGATTGACATTTGAGCTGTCATATTAGGCATTTAGATCTTCGCCCCTTACACACGAAAATGTAAATTATATTGTCTAGTGACTCAAGGGCAAAGGGGAAGAGAAAGTAAGCAATGCAAAACAACAACAATAAGTAATAAAAAAACACCAACGTTTTTTAATCATTTTTATTACAGTTGTTAAATGCTAAAAATAATGTAAAAACAGAAAACACGTACGTGGGGGGAATGATTTTTGCAAAGTGTTTGCATCCCCCCCGAAAAGTCCACAGTTTTTCCAACGAACATTAAGTAACAACGATATACTGTACAACAGTTTTGAATTTATCCTAGGTGTTTAGAATTATGGGTTAGTGGTTACGTATAGACTCTAATATGTCGTAGCAATCATTAATTCTTGCGCTCACGGCCGTTTGCGCTGACAGCAAACGAGCTGCCGCCATGTAGCTATTAGATAATATAGGGTGATCGGCTGCGAATGTCAGTAAATTTTACACACTAGCCTGCATTTTGCGTCATTTTCAGCGATCCCCATACACTGTTGTAGACATATTTTGACGAATACGTTGGGTAAAAGGACAAGTGTTATTTTTTGTTGTTAACTTCCAAATCTATATTTCTAATAGCCGGGTACAAGTCGTCCGCTGTTCACGCACCAAACAGGCTCAGCTTGTCAACAGCTTTTCCTGGGAGGCATTTTTTATACAAATGACGTTATACTGACTGACATTCTGTCGTGGAATCAAAACCCTACCGGGTTCTGGTTTACATGCACTTGATAACCTAAAAATTACAAAATCCGAACCGCGACCTAATTAAAGAAGACGTTACTGTAAACTTCAATGGTTATAATCAATATTTGTATAAATCCATCAATATTTCTTTAAATTGTAGAGAGAAATAAATCCATAAAATTTTAAATTATTTTTAGTGACTTCGGGATAATATCGGGAAAAATTGTCGCAAAAAGGCACATTCCACTAACTACTGCACCGGATGACATGTAAAAGTTAATGTTGCCGTCGCATTGAAAATGGCACTTTAGCTGGCGAAAAAGATGTAATAAGTACCATACTTGAAGAGTTTCCAAGAGAAAAGTTAAAAATAAACATGCCAGCATTGATCAGATTATTTACTAATAAAGAAGTAAAAAACTATCCAAATATTGTGTAATAACTATGAATGAAGCTAAACCTGTGTGTATTTGCATTTGCATAGGCATTTGGCTATTAAGTACCACTGGAACAAATTTTTGATCATTTCTGTAATCTTTTTTTATTCTCCTAGTATCTTAGACATAGATTTTATATTTAATTTTTCAAAGAAACTTCCACAAGCTACTGCAATACTTTTTACAAAACTTCTGGATTCCTCCTGCGTCGGTTTTTGCTGAGTCGAACTTGCTGACGTTTCATCAATCATCATGTTGGCTTCTTCAGAGCTTGACTGAAACACAACAGGATGATTGGCGAAAAGTCAGCAAGTTCGACACAGCAAAAACCGACGCAGGAGGAATGCATAAGTTTTGTAAAAAGGTTTTATATTTGATTATATTGGTAGTCCTTGTACGAGTACTAGAGCTGTACTAAATTTTGCAAAAGTAAAAGTCACTAAATAGAAACAGAACCTAACTATTTGTCTCATTTGATGCTTCCACGTCTCCTTTCTTTCCCAGGAACACTTTTTAAAACGTGCATCTAAACAGATCCGTGTTATTCCTCGTTGTGTTTTTCTGCGGTGACAATCTATTCTAGATTCCAGACTACGATCATTTTTTTAAGGATCATCACAAACCTAACTTGTAGAATGAAATTCAGTAGAAAATGTTCGTCGGCCATATTTGATATAGAACCACTTTAAATTGTTTTTACACTTTGGTGCTACTTTTTTAAATTAATGAAACTGAATATGCATGAATTGCATGCGGTTAATTTATTGACTGCATTTGCCTTATTTTAAGGCATTCTGTGTCAACTTTTATTTTAATATTCTTTCTCTTCTGTCCTTAGCATTATTACTTTTTTACTCGGGTAACGTCTTATAGAATATCCGACGATTTTACACGTAGTGGCCCGACCGGCAAAACTGATAAATATTTCAGTTTCCACATCTAAAACTATACTGTGCTTCGTGATAGTGTTCTGTCGATTCGTCTTATGACTACGTACTTGGAATGCTCTTATTAGGCATGGTTAAAGCTACGGTCTATCTATAGCGCACGGAGCTGAAATTGGTCAAAGAGCGATTCGTGAATTTAGTAAACCATTTTCCGGCTTATTCGAGCTGTAGAAGTGACTGCTAAAACATTATTTGTGGCTAAAGTGGGCATGGGAGGATTTAAAGGATACAATTGTTACAAAAGATAATTGTTATGTAATTCTTCTGGAGTTGGTAAACTTTTTCTTTAAAGATTGAAGCCGAGGATGAGTCCATAAAACCACTGAATTGCGAGGGAAATCAAATTTGATTTAAGTAACGTTAACACAAAGCATACAACGCAAACAAGAAACTTATATTAAAACAACGTAACCATTCCAAAATTTACTTCTCAAGCAGATTAGTTTTTTTTTCGCCAGAAGTCTCATTGAATTGTCAAATTGCCATCGCACAAGGGGCGATTCTCCTGCCCATGCGGAGCGCGCTTCTCGCACTGAGTAGGCGCATTTAATAAACACAATGCAGATAGACCGTAGCCTAATGTATATACGAATCACCTTAAATCTTGTAAAAATTATATCGCCGGATTTTTTTGTTAATCGTTTTCGTTCCGAACGGATTTTTCCAGAAATTTAGCTCATCCCCAAAGCAGCCACCACGTGCCCCCATTCTATTATGCACCCTCCCCTTTTATTTCCTGTGCCCCGTCATCCCAGTTTTCGTTATTGGATCGAGCACGTTGACTCATTATCCATGTTGAACAGGCCGTAGTCATTTCCCGCCGTAGGGAAATCAATTTCCTCTTCGAAGTCGAAGTAGTGGCACTGAAAAATAGAATTCCATTAATAACCCGCCGATCGGGGGGAAATTCCCCAAAATCGGACGTGACCACGTGCGCGGGATGTGGAAAGGTCACCTGCCGGGGGGCCACGCCCCTCCTCACAAGCGATATTAAAACAATAGGCTCGGCAAAACAAAAAATTCTCTTCTACTTTTCGAGTCGAGTAATTTCAATCAAATATTTTTTTTTACACTAACCAAAACGGAGAAACCGATTTTACTATGGGCCAACGTTTTTATCATCAGGGTCCTTTCAAGGTAAATAATTAAAAATATAAATATTAACAGCATATTAGGATCCGATCAACTGAATAACAGCAAAATATAATTTCCATAATAAGCTGTCGAAAAGTTACCAAACGAGGTGGATTTTGATATTTTTCCACCAAAACAGTAACATACCACAAAAATATATGTGTTCGCGATAATCATCCAGTCAACGAAAAGATCCTTGTGATAATACTGGGTGGCTCAATAAAAACACACGATTTTCACATAGGTATAATAATTTTCTAAATAAAGCGATAATTATGAACGTTTCAATATCGAGTTTTAATATTAGCCAATTATCGCCTTCAACTAACTTGAAAGTCGTGAAGAATGGCAACTTTGAGTTTCTTAGCGTGGGCGCGTTTCCTCTCCTTTTTTACATATTGGGGGCGCAATACCGTACTATATCTCATTTGTCACTGTTTGGAAAAAAAGTTTTAATTAGGTTTACCATAAAATCAAGAGACAAACATTTTAAAAATATTTTTAATTATACAGGGTGTTTCGTAAAAGCGATTCAATACCAACATAATCTTCTTTAAACGTCCCACATATTTTTGGACATTACAATTCCTCCAAGAAAAAATGGAAAGTAATTTAAAAACCATGTGTTTGTATGATGCCCTATATCTTTCGCATCTAAACTTCAGCAATGCGGCTAAGTAATTATTTTATAGAGCGGATTTTCTAAACTCCTGCTAACTTAACGTTTAACAATAACTTTTATCTGATTTTATACTTACATGTAGACAACTACTTCATCGTGTTTAACTATTGCCCCTCTTCTACTTTCGTTACCTTATACTCATCGATTCGATTTTTTTCGTAAAATTCGTTTGTATTACAATATGTCAATATTAATATACAAGGTGTAAAAATAGTGCGTCAACGTAATATATCTTATTACTTTTTTTAGAGAAAAACGTTAAATACAAAAGTGATAGATGAGATTAAAAGAAACAATTTAACATTATTTTTAGATATACAGGGTGATTCATAAATATGTGGGAAACCAAACTTATATTTTTTTATATTCAATCACCCAATGTATGGTCTATACTGAGTGTTTTCCGATTTATGGTTCTTTTTTCGTCAAAAATGCACTGTGTTTAATACCCTATATTTTTGACGCCGTTTACGATAGTTGCAATTTTATAAAGTCATTAATCCTAAACTTGTCTTGAAGTTAGTTCGAATCATTTAAGTATGGTAAGTCAAAAGGAAAAATATTAATTTTCGCGAAAAGAACAAATCGAACAGGGTGTATGTTATACTTCCTATTAATGCTCTTTCAATTTTATTAAGCATTCTCTATGCCTAAACTTAATATTTCTTGAGGTATACATATTTTTACGAACAAAATACTGAAAATTTTTAAACCGTGCGAAAATATCACAAAAGATTGAAAACAAGATAATTATTACCTGAACTTGAAAGGTCTAGCTAGAGAGACCAATTAAATATAAATCTTACAGATAATAATAAGCATTTGTTAGACAAAATGTAATGCGGAAATTATGTATTATTCGTTTAAATTCGAGATTTAAACAAAAATAAAATTATGAACTGCGAAATTCGGAAAAACAATTTAAACAGTATTAAACGTTAGGGAAAATATTAAAACTGCAATATTAATATTGGTAATAGATCCAGAAAAAACAGTAAAAAAACTATGTACACAACTGCAAAAGAAAAAAGAACTGTTTAATTAAGTTTCATTTTATTTATTGCTCGAATTGTCCCCGACCGACTTCCAGACATCCTCGATTTTTAAACGATTGTGCAATATTTGCTAGCATTTCATGACTAACACTTTGAAAGGCTTTTTTTATCCTCTGTTTCATAGCCTCTTTTGTTGTGCACTTGTATACATCCGGTCTTTATATCCCCATATACAATAGTCAGTCTATTTGGTTAGATCAGGAGATCTAGGTGGCCGTCTAATCGGACAACCTCTTCCTATTCACCGTTGAGGAAATAAATTATTTAAGTAGTTCGTAAATGGTGTGCAGGAGGTCGATCATGAAGGAACCACATTTTCTGCCTCACTTCGTTTCTTCATTCATATGTTCACCGTATTTTCAAACATTTTTCCAGATTGTGCGTCATTATAAAGTAGAGTCTAATGTTAGCAGAATAGTGAAAATTATGCCTGTTAACACAACCGTTTTAATGGTATGTCGATTCATCAGTAAATAATACATTAATAAGAACGCATCTTATTTTTTCACAAAATATTCATAGAACTATTAGATATTAGTAAGGCTGTCTTACATGTAGCTTTTCTGTGACACTAAGTAATACTTGCAATTCATTTTCCGCCTTCACTACAATCTTGACTCTTTCGTTCTTTTCATAAGCAACACTCCCAGTTCTTGTAAAACGATTTATCAAGAGTTCTTTTAGAGGCTGTTTTCTATCGGAATACTGTTGCGGGTCAATTCTGGTAGCTAATAATGTATTCTTCTCGTTAGATCCCACTACGAAAATCATGTCGACTATTTCTTCGATATTATTTACACTGATATTGCAAAATAGAACAGATTGCCTTAAGCAGAGAATCACAAATCCTCAAAAATTGTTACTGTTGTTTTGAGCCGATGAGTGTTCTCATTTAGTCACAAATCGACTTTTTCATTCTCGGTCCGAATAGCCCGCACTTCTAATTTACAGAAGAGTGACACTGGATGTCGCGATATGCATGTCTGTTACGCAAAAGCAAGTGGAAATTCAGGCCAGCATTATTAACTTGCAGGAGACGTGCACCATTTTTTTAAAAACAGCATGCTATAAATTAAAAAAGTGAAAAAATGGCATAAGTTAATGCAATAACATGTTTAATTTAATTAACATAAATAAATGCATTTAAAATTTTCGAAAATAAAAAATTATTAAAAGTTGTACAACGCTAATTACAATTCATTTTCATTTTAAAAAATGCTGCCGAACATAAAAAATAAGCAAACTATTTTAATGATTTCGCAACCGTTTAATATTGTTTGTCATAGATCATTGATAGCCGTTATAGGTGTTTCATACACTGAAGACTTTAAGTGATCCCAAAAAAACAAGTCTGGTCTAGTGAACGAGGCGGCCAAGCTAGAGGTCCGCCCCGACCTATCATATTCAATATCAATATCGATATTCAAATGCCTTCGTACAGTCAATGTAAAATGGGGTAGCGCGCCATCTTGCATTAACCACATGTTTTGTCTCTTGTCTTGTCTCTTGAACCTCTTCCATCAGTTCCCATTGAAGAAATTTGCGAAAATACATTTCCCCATTGAGCGATCCGTTAAAAAAATGAGGTCCTATAAGATTATTTCTATAATCCCTGCCCATACATTTAAAGAAAACCGGCGCTGATGACCTTTAAGAATTGCGGGTAATTTTGAATTTTTCCTAAAATTTGATTGCATAAAATTACTCCCAATTGCTCGTGACCCTCATACTCATGCTTGAACCCTTTGAAGATGAAAGGCCGAAGATCATTTTCATGCAAAACTTCCCAAACTGTAAAGCAAGGAATTCTTTTCTGAGCAGCAAGTTTTCTCGTACTCGTTGACGGGTTGAAGTATTTTTTTTCTCTTGCAGCGGTTCTTTTATATCTTGGTCTCCCTTTACTCATATTACTAGGTTTGAATGATCCTCTTTCAAAAAGTCTTCTGTGTATGTTGATGAATGTTTCTGTTGGGATAAGCCTCGATATAAAGCCGTCGTGCTTGATCTGCATTTCCATTTGCTCTTCCGCAGCAAAAATCCATGTCGCCATATTCAGTATTTGAATATTCCTGATGGGCCATCGCAGTAGCAGTCGGATAATAAACTCTTAGAAACTAATTTTTAACGGATTGTGTCAATGACTTTTTAAAATTTCGACTCAAAACAAGAGTAACAATTTTTGGGGATTTGTGGTTGTGCTTAAGGCAATCTATTCTATGCAATATCAGTTAAATAAATAAAAAACAGGAAAAATAAAAAAAATGTTCTAGGTAAAGCGGCTTCGAGTGACAAACTCCTGAAACACTTTTATTTTAATTTTTCAAAGAAACTTCCACAGGCTACTTAGTACTGTTAACAACACTTCTAGATTCCTCTTGCATCGGTTTTTGCAAAGTCGAACTTGCCAACGTTTCGTCAATCCTGTTGGGTTCTTCAGAGACGAACTGAAACTAGCTCGCATTTTTTTCTGTACCTGCTTATATATTGCTTGAGGGGGCGGAGATAAATGAAGGGCATAAACACCGTCTCGGATGACTGATTCTCATATTGTGACAAGTAAAGACCTGAGTCGCGGTTAAGATTGTTAGATTTTTTATAGATTTCTATGAACTCTCGCATTTTTCGTTGGTAGAAGAATTGATTACATGCAAGAATTTTAGTTTTATCGAATAAAATTTTATGTCCGGTTTCGTGATTCTCTTCAGCCACTGCTGATGAGTTTATTTGTCTCAGTCTTAAGGTTCTTCCATGTTCTTTGAGCCTAGTTCATATTTTTCGTCCATTGTATTCCTTGCCGCATATACATGGAATGTATTTAATTCCTGGTATCTCAAATGGAATTTTGTCTTTGACGGATCGAAGATGATGAGAGATTTTTGGACAAGTGGTAAATCTGGTTTTGACGTTATATTTCTTTAGAACTTTGGGACCACAGTGACAAGTGTAGAATTGCTTTCGGCCTCATTTCTACTGGAAGGTTGTGGTGAAGTGTATTTTGTGATGGAACGCTTAATATCTGTAATGTGGAAATTATTAGAGAGAAGAGCAGAGGGAAGGTGTTTTAATTCTGGGTTGAGTGACTCGGGCTGGAATAGTTTTACGACTCTGTAAACTAGAGAGTTGATAACCGATGATTTTTGGGCCGGATGGTGGTCTGACTATGCATTAAGGTATCGGTCTGTGTGCATAGGTTTTCTGTAAACACAATGAATGTTAGGTCTGAGTTTCTATTGACAAGAATATCTAAGAATGGGAGGTTATTATTTTTGAAAAAACGTCGGGAACGGCTATGGATTCTTCACTATTACAGTTATCGCGAATAAATTTATGGAAGCCTTTGAGAAGAAAGCTCTTGATACCTTCGCAGGAGGAATCCAGTTTTGTAAAAAGCCCTTTTATTTTGTTACGATAATATCAGATTATTATTATAAAATGAATTTTTGTTACATGACTTACTACTTATTTTCCCACGTTGAATCATTCCTCCAAGTGTCCGAACTCAACTTCTAAACACCCTGTATATTATTATAAAGTATACTATGAATTGACGCAATTTTCAAAAAATAAAGGAGACGCGAGGATGGAAAATTGAAAAATAATTACTTGATAGGCTTTATCGCCATCGGGGGACGGTTTAAAAAAATAGCGTATCGACATAGACGTCGGCAACGAAAAATGGGATTCCGTTGGAAAACTGGAAAAAATCGCGAGACCATTTGCATGTTATTAAAAGGGGGAGGAGGCATGTCGGTGGAGGGTGAAGATTAATGTCCCCGCTGTAACGCCCGGGGGAGACCGTTTTAAGCCGGACGACGAGTGAGGACGATAATGGGGAGAACGGACGTTGGGGATAATAATTTTATTGAGGGGTATGCCGAATAAACGATTGGTGTAAGTGCAGTATGTGACGACTTGCTTATTTTAAATGGACCACCCTCTATATGAGACCATATTGGGAGATCATTCAGAGATATTTTGGCAAGTGCCGGGTTCTACGATAAATATTCATCGCGGCCGGACGCGCGTGGGATTCGTCCCACTACGACGTCGAAGCCCGCCTTCGAGCATTTTCCGAATGCTAATAAAACTTTATGAACCCCCGCCGGCCCCTTCGTATTCGATATTTCACCGAAACTTTGCCCGCCCGTCTCAGCCGAAAATCCATAATTAAAGACAGCGCCAAAGTTTCCCAGGTAAACGGTTGGGGGCTTGGGGGCAGGTATAGCTACCACCCATCCGTAATTTACATCTTGTTACGTTGACAAGCAACGCCTACGATTACTTTAAACTTTCTGCCTCATTTTCTGACATTCGATTAGGAGATGGAGAAAATGTAGTCCGACAAAAAGTCTCCATACAAGTATAGAAGAATAATGATAGTTTATTATGCAACAAGTGCGGTAAACGGCATTTGACTCACGAGTATATTTGACACGAGCGGAGCGAGTGTTTAATAAACGATTGACTTAAAAAGTTTACCGTAAACGAAACGTATATACACAACTCCAAGTGATATCGCTACCAACACAGTCCATTATTCATCTTAAATTACCTAGAAAACGCTGTCAAACTGATGTATATACAGGGGATGTGGAAATAACGTTAGAATTTAAGAGGTGGTTCTACATGAAAAAATAAGAAATTTCTTTCATATGATTGTGGGTGCCAAACATAAATAAATATATCTAATATTCCTTGACTAATTTTGTTGAAATTTGATAGTGTTGTTTATGACATTGGCATTCCGGGACGCAACTTATCAAATATTTTTGACGATGCAACATTTTTCTCTATTAACATTTTTTCGTCCCTTGCTTCGTTTTCGAGAAAAAACATTGTCCCTAACCTCTTATTACATATAAAATTTGGTAATTCCAAAGAATCTGGATCTGTATAGTGAAGACATTAATAAAAAACCAATCAGAAGTTACAATTAGGGACACGCTATATATTTGAAGACATTAATAAAAAACCGATTAGAAGTTCAGAAGGGTTCGCAAGGTCACGAGGTTCCGCATTGCTATAACTCAGAGGCATATTTACACGGCAGGTCAAGGATTTGTATTCAAGTTAAAGTGGTTAAAGGCATTATGGATGACACCCATTTGATGAAGATAGTGATTCCCGAAGTGTAACCGCACTTGGAAACCGACACAAAGGCGTCGCCCAAGCCTATGATGATTTCCGAAACCCTGATGTGCGCATGCTCCACACGTCATTTCCTCTTAGCAATAAATATCAAATTAGACGTTCGGGGGCGCTATAGCGCTCCCTTTGTCAAATGAGAAAACATATACCGAAGTGACGAAGTAACTTTCCACTTTTGAACTGTAAATCAGAAGAATACTAGACGAAAGCCGGATGGAGGAAAGCCTCAGGTTCAAAAGTAATTGATTAAGTAATAAGTGACGATTTTACTAACCCACTGCTTTGGTTATAGGACTGATATTTCCGACCAACGGTTTAAGGGACTCTCTAGCGACACACCGATACAAACAGCCAGTCCTTCACTGGTTTTAGAACGATCCCAAGGACGGTTCCAATCCCTGATCTAAAACGCAGTCTGACACTACATATAAAGCCTTACCTTATCACGGTCCAGAAAAGGTTAACACGCAGCTAAGTATTCTAGACAACAATTCACACGGAATATATATACAGGGAGTTTTGTAAATGAATGTCGATAATTAAGATTTTTGAATATATTTGAATGAATGAATATATGAATATATATGATATATGAACAAATGTCCTAAACGTCTTAACTTATGAGATGCAGGGTGGTAAAGTTTTCAAAAATATAATAATATTTTTCAATATCTATAATATCACTTTAGATATTTTAATGAATTTTTTTAAAAATACATCAATAGCGGGCGTACGGAATTTCACATGTATATTTTGGCAGACATTCATGGTACGCCACTGGATTTTCTTACAAAAAAAATATTCTTAAAATCTCCAATCTTTTCTAAAGAAATTTAATTTCTTGATTTTTTCAATCCGATGAACGGTTTTCGCTTAAAAAAATAAAAACCTCTTCTCTGTGTGGTCATAACATTATCTTCAATATGACAGCATGCAGAGAAATTAGTTTTCAATTTCAAGTGCGACGAACTAAAAAAAAATTAAGAGATCAAATTAAATCTGCTTATAAATGAATGCAAATGTCATTATTATTTTTTAAGGAAATCATTGGCGTGCCATTGACTGTCTACGAACAAATAATATTTTGGGGAATTGTGAAAACAAAACATCTTCTTTTTAGTTACCAACTAGGGTCCGTTAGAAAAAAAATTAGAAGACTGGTCTTTTTACTTTTACAGTTTTAATGAAATAACATAACATCATATCATATCATATTATGAAAGTGTCTTCCACTTTGAAGGATACCCGCTTCAGCTCTTTTCCTGATATTGCCGAGTACTCTTTGAAGTATACCTCCAGTATTTCTTTTTGTATTGCAGGAAGCTCTTCTACGGTGTTAACTGGGTTGAGATAAACCAGACTTTTTAAGATGCTCCCATAAGAAAAAGCCAAAACTATTTAAATCTGGTGACCTAGGGGGGCATGGTTGAGGTCCGCCGTGACCTACCCATCGGTTATTAAATGTGTAATTTAAATATTCTCTTACTGCAACACTTAAGTGATCAGGCGCGCCGTCATGCATGAACCACAATCTGTTCCTAAATAATTATGGTACTTCTACCAATATTGGCAAATCCTCTTCTAAAAACAACACACATCAGAATTAATAATTCTTAAGATTTCAGAGATACACCTCAGAGTTTATGTATTTCGTATTCGCACTTCGAGTTATTGAAGGATTTATCAACGATATTGTTATGACCATGCAGAGAAAAGGTTTTTATTTTTTAAGCGAAATTACATTTCTTTAGAAATGATCGGAGATTGTAAGAATAACTTTCATTGGCGTACCATCAATGCCTGCCAAAATAGACAGGTGAGATTCCTCAAGTCCGCCATTGGTGTATTTTAAAAAAATTATGGTAAACTAAATAATGCCTCTTGATACATAGTACACGTGTGCCAAATTGCATTAAAATATCTAAATTGGTATTATAGATATTAAAAAAATATATTTTAGTTTTGAAAACTTTATCACCCTGTACCTCAAAAATTAAGTAGTGTCGGACATATGTCCATTTGAAGTTTTCTTTTTAAAATGGACCCAAAAATCGCCTCCTTAATTATTGACATTCAATTAGAAAACACCCTGTATATTATTATTATTATGGAAAATTTTGAATTACATTTCTAAAAATGGTGCCGTTTTGCTATTTTTTAGGAATAGTGCTTTTCTGTATTGAAATAAGGGCTCACTCCCGTAAATTAAAAATCGAACTGTGAATTATTCGAACGTTATTTTCGGACGCTATGTATATATACACCATGGTTTGAAATTGATTGAAATAAGCAAAAAAATTTCAAATCTGTCAATCAACAGATGCTTGCTGCTTGTTTTAGTACAACGCAATACGAAAATCTTTGACAAATATCTCAACAGCGTATCATTTCTCGACCCCCTTTTTCCACAATATTTTTGATCCACTGGAGGTTCGACCGATGTATACCTGACACTCCAAACATTTGCAGTCGTCTGTTTGAGCGCAGGCCAACCCCAGTATCGCAGCGGCCTCCTCGTATAGGTCCATAGATTGGACGTCGCTTGAAGACGCAACGCACTCTGTCGCCGGCTCATCGCGTTTCAGTACCGCCAATGGGTTCCGTTTGTCGCCATCGGGTTGCCGTTTTCTCGATTTGCGCGGCATTTTTGTAAAAAACTGAAACGAAAATCGTCCTACAAATATAAAAAGTAAAACTTGCTTCTTTATTATTACAACTTAAGCCCGGTAGACACGATGCAACATCTCCATGTATTTCTGCCTGTATTTTTAGCAGATAAAAATTGCTGTATTTTTAACTGGCAATAACTATTTTGGTGGAATTTGGTTTTTAAAGGTTGTGTTTTAAATGTTGATACAATAAACGATACTTTTTATACTTTGTGTTTTTGCAACGCATATAATAACTTGTCGGTGTACAAGTATATCCTTAATCCCAATACTAAATGCAAGAAAATTGAGGATGTTTGTTTAAACTGCTGAATAACATCCAATATATACTAATTATATTAATTTAATAATTCTCTAAAACTAAATTCTGTGCAGTTCTCTTACATAGTTCGTTAAATTTACATAGTTACATTTAGGTTATAAATTGATATACATTTTTTTAAGTTAATTGTTTATTGACTTGTTTTATAATAGTTTTTAGTTTTCATGGTTATATTTTTGAATACCTACAGTTTACTAAACAAATTGTCCATTGGCACCTGCCGGGGGTCGGTGGTCGACACGCGGCCCGGCGAAAGCTGCGCACGGGAAAGGCGGGCCGTCCCGGGGGGGGGGGGGGGCTCTGACAGGGGGGCTCGGTCCTATGCGCAAGCGGCGGCGGGGGGACCTGAACTGGTGGTGGGTCTCAGAGGGCAGGAAACTGACCTGTCTTCCGAAGACCTACTGCAGTTCATAGGGTCTCTTAACTTCCGCGTAAGCATGTATATCATGCAGGGGGGCAAAACACCCCTCCCCGGATGCGTTCGGTTAGACTGTGGAGGAGCCACATCCTGAGCGAGATGATGGATGAAGAAACCAGGGAGTAGGTTTGCAGGGAGCTGATCAACGTCATGCCCTGGGGGCTCGCGAACCTGGTTGAGGTCGATCCGGAAGGATTGAGACTAAGAAGTGCGGCGTACTGGATTCCGGGCCTGGGGGCGGGTGTCTCGAACGAGGCACGGCTGTCGGTATGCGTGTTCGCTGACATCGAAGGGGCCTTCAATAACACGGCCCTGAATTCGATCTGCAGGGCCGTGGAGCGTACTGGAGTGGGGCCGTTGAAAGGTGGATCCGCTCCATGCTAACCGACCGGAGAGTCGAGGCAAGACTGGGTGGGGAGCAGGTCTCCATCGGTTCATCACGGGGTTGTCCACAGGGTGGGGGGTCTTGTCACCCTTCCTGTGGTGCCTAGTGGTGAACGACATATTGCATATTCTGAGGGAAGAACACGGGGTCTATGCTCCGGCATATGCAGACGACTTTGTGATAATGACACAGGGGACGGACGTGAGGAGAATGCAGGGGCTCCTGAACGGGGCATTGGTAAGATTCTCACAATGGTGCAAGGACAGCAAGTTGGCTGTCAATCCTGGCAAGGTGGACATGGTCATCATCACCAGGAAAAGGAAGATGGAGTGCAATCTCAACATTTCGATGGATGGGGTGCCTCTTTCTGCAAGCGGAAGCATAAAGTACTTGGGGGTATGGTTGGACTCCAAGTTGACCTTCCAGGAACATATAAGATCAAGGACCAGGTTGGCCTTTGGAGCTCTGTGGGCGTGCCGGAGGGCGATAGGGGGCACTTGGGGCCTGAGGCCGAAGATCATGCAGTGGATCTACGGTACCATGGTGGTGCCTATGCTCACGCATGGGGCAGTAGCATGGTGGCCGGGACCAAAAGGGCAGAAGCAAGGCTAGTTCTTGACAAATTGCAAAGATTGGCTTGCCTATGTATAACGGGCGCCATGAGGATGGCCCAGGAGGGCCCTAGAGGGTAGAGGCCTTTCTGGTGGGTTTGCCCTTTCTGGCGGATCGGGTGAGGATGGAGGCGGCCAGGACGGCTGTGAGGCTGGCGAGCTGCGGCTCTGGAGGGAGGGAACCTTCAATCGGGGCCCGTACGACATTTTAGAGGGCTGGCCCAGGGATCGCGGGGTCATGGCCATACCGAGTAACGTCATGATCCCCGAGATGACATTTTTTGACAAATGGACTTCCCATCAAGGGAAGAGTGCAGAGAGGGCAGAGTTGGCTCCTGGGATGGACTTGTCTGGTACACGGACGGGTTTAGAATGGGAGATTTGCCCGGAGCTAGAGTGTACTGTCGGTCCTTCTGAGTCAGTACTGCACTGTGTTTCAGGCGGAAATTTTCGCTATATTGATGGCGACCAGAGGGGTGCTTCGACTCAACCATGGAAGCAGGAGGGTCTTCTTCTGCTCGGATAGTAGGGCTACACTTATGACGCTGAAGTCAGTGCTTACGCGCTCCTTGCTGATAAAGGAGTGCAAAGGGGTACTGAGGAGAGTGGCTGAGGAGAGGAAGATCACGTTGGTCTTGGTCCCGGGTCACAACGGTATCCGGGGCAATGAGGCAGCGGACGCCTTGGCCAGGGAGGGCTCCTCGCATACGCATATGGGACCAGAGCCCCGCTCGAGGATCACCCTGTGCGTGAGGCGGGGAGCTTCCGAAGCCTGGGCGAGAGACTGATCAGAAGGGAGTGTAGAGCACTAACAGGGGCCTACACAGGACATTACAGGCTTAGGAGGCCTCTTTGCTTGCTAGGCATTGGAGACGACCTGGAGTACAGGTGGTGCATGGAAGGGGAGGAGACATGGGCAAGATTTGGAGTCTTCGGAACGGCCCTGATCGATCCGGACTCAGTGCACGGTATTGGGCTAAAGGAGTTGCTGACCTTCTATAGGAGGGGCGGCATTCTGGACGCCCTCTAGAGCGGTCTGGAGGCACAACGGGCCCATCTGGTGGCCTAAGTGCTTGGACGCCCGCGAGAGCGCCCCCCTTTAATAACAATATCAATACCAATACCATTGGCAATTTTCATAATTATATACTTGGCAAGCAAAATTTTCATCTGCAATGATTAGACTTACTATAAAGGAATGAACGTTTTGTCTATAGCAGGTTCTACAGTTCCTTCTTGAAATTTTTTCGACTTTTTTTTCTTGTGCGATATCTAGCGTCATATAAAGTTACGATTTAGATTTTATTTACATGTTTCGTAGAGATTTACACGCACAAATTCGGAAAAAAAAGCTGGTTATGTTATCTGCCACATTTCTTGCAATTTGCTACTAGACACTTGGCAATATTTACATGAAAAAGTACATACAGAAATACATGCAGAATTTACGTCGTACTGCCGGGCTACTGGATTTTCATAAATATTTTGAGATCCCCCTACAGAGTTTATCAAATGGGGTATGAAAAAACGGTTTATATAAAAGGTTCTCTGATTTTTTCTCTATTATCGGAAGATATATTCGGAAAATATATTTAAAAATTAACAACTTCACTTTTTTTGATAGAACACCCTCTATATTTTGCTATGGCTGAAAACCCTTTCAATCATGATTTCAAAAACATACAGGATGTCCCACCGGAAACTTCGTCGATCTTTTGTGGAAAGACTGTAAGAAGCAAAAAATTGAAAATTTGGAAATAAAGTAATAATGATGCGGAAATGGAACATCCTATAATATTATTGCTTTTTTAGAATCACATTTTTAGAATCAGGTTTGAAATTTTCCTAACATCATCATTTATTTATAATTGTTTGTGATTTCCGGTGATTTTTTTTTGTAAAAAACTCATGATTTACTTCCAAATTGGGGTTTGTCTTCTGCTTCAGTTTGGACGTCGGCTTGTATTTCATCATCTCCCGTCCTGCGGGCGACACGAACAGGGTCTCCAAGTGGTTCTCCTGCAACGCGAATACAAAGCGATTAACGTTGAAGGGGCCCGTGTAACCGAAAGAGCAGTAAAAGCGCCCCTCGTTCGGTCTCGTACAAATAATGAATATATACGCTCCGGTCAAATCCGGAAAATATAACCGTCTATAAGGGAATTACCCCCGCACCGCCGACGCGACGCCGCCATAAAGAAAACCGGCCTTTGAAACGGCCGTTTTTACCGCTCCGGTGCCCCGGAGATTTGTCAGAGATATTAGTCCGGGGGATTTGAATGGACCCGGATCGCAGAGAGCAATGGGCAAAAGGTCAAAAGTGGGGTGGATAGAGGAGGTGACCTTTATCCGGTATAGAATTTTAGATTTCTTGGATGTTATTTATACAACGCTATGGTGGCATAGAAACTTGAAAAATTTTTACCTGATGCATCAGCCAATGTGCTTTCCAAAGTAAAAATTTCATAAACTTGCCTTCGCAATATATATATATATATATATATATATATATATATATATATATATATATATATATATATATATATATATATATATATATATATATATATATATATATATATAAGAAATGATGAAAAGAAATATTACGTATAAACTGACACAATTGGAAATTATTTAAAAAAATAATAACAAATTGAACGTTGAAAAATTAAAAAATGAGGAGTATATAGTTTAAACTGCGGATAATGTTTATTTTTAGTAAGAATTATAGTTAAATTGTTAGTTATTTTCTCGTTTGTTTAAATTTTTGGAGCAATCTTCTGGTTAAGAAAAGCATATCTTTACTTAGTTACGTTAGTTTTAGGTTACATTTTCGCAAAACAACACGAATATATTCACTGACATGACCGTCAGAATTGACAAACGTCAAAATTCAAAGCGTGGGAAATATCTCCGAAAACATCCGATTGTTCCCAAATCCGTGCGGTAAAACCCCGAAATGGCTCGGATTCGTGGGAAACGAAACCGACATGGTAAAGTGACGCTTCCCGCACGCTAGATCGGTGGGTAATTAAATATTTTACAGACGGGAGTAGAAAAATATATTTTTAGACGAATTGGGAAACCCTAAAACTGCAATAGATTCGTGTTAGAAAAAATTATATCGTTATTTTTTTTTACATTACTTACGGATCATAAAACAGTTATTTTTAGAAATGGCAAAGTTAAAGTAAAGATCTGCTTTTCTTAACCAGAAGATTGCTCCAAAAATTTAAACAGTTTCATACGTGCTATAAACAAACGAGAAAACAACTAACAATTTAACTATAATTCCTACTAAAACTAAACTAAAAAGAATGACCAGTTTTTTAATTTTAAGCGTGTAAACATTTTTTCTACCTGTTTATCCAATATAGATATATATTCTTCATTTTTTAATTTTTCAACGTTCAATTTGTTATTATTTTTTTTAATAATTTCCAATTGTGGTTGTCAGTTTACAAGTAATATTTGTTTGCATAATTTTTAACTGGGTTCTCCTACGCATGTAATTCTTTTAAATGATTTGGATTGAGCATTCGATTTAGTGTAAATGGAGATCAGGGTTATTTGATACTATTTTTTTTATGGCTTTGTCTATAGCACACGGGTTGTAAACATTTTGCTATTACAGTTTTATAGTTTTTTTTATAGAAGAATGAAAAGCAGCTCTTTTTCTGTGTATGACTGCGTCTGTGTGTGAGGGTTTACGGTAAATGGAAAAATCCAATTTCGTTTGTGTTCTAATCTAAAAAGTTAATGAAATTATTTTGTTCGGTCTCTTTCTTTCTCGAATTCAAATAGTTCAAAAAAGTGTTGTTCTTCTATATTGTTAGCGAAATTCAAAAAATTCTAAACAAACTATTAAACTACCTTTGTGAGTAAGAATATTGTCAGTGTATTACGTATATTGATGAAATCCTTGCCACTAAGTTTTGAATATCCCTAAGAAATTATTTATTTACAATGTTTTTTTCTATATGTTATAAGAAACCCTATAGAAAACGTGTTAAATTAAAACTGATTATTTTTCTTTGAAAACAGTAATATAATTTTTTTTCCGTTCTTTTTTTAATGTATTGCTTTACTTAAATTATTTACCATTGCGTACACTAAAATACTCCAGAGATTTACCCAGCAAAAACGTTAAAAATATTGTTGAACAAAACTGCGCAAGATAATTTACATTTCCGTGAAACTTTCTCGAAAGTCCCATCGTAGTCGCGAGGGCCTACAGTCTTTGTTCCGGTCGTGTTGAAAGTTTTCCCCGACCGCTTGTACCTACACACCTACGATTTTCCTAGTTCCACAAGAAGCTATTCAATGGGCTCGCGCTCACGTATAGAGAGGGCTATGAATGACGCGTTTCCTTTTCACCAGAAGAAATAGCGAGAACAATTTAGTCTCGAAGTGTATAATATTTTACAAAATATTGGTACATGATCGTAGGGGTGGCTCAGAACAGTAATTGACGCCCCTTATAATGGGTGTTTAAGTTTAAAAAACCGCGTGATTGACGCTAACGCCTTCATGCGGCAATCTCGCTGCGCATCAACGTAGCACCCGCGCACCAGCCTCCCCAGTAGTGTTGTGTCAATCGTTCATTCTACGAGGACCGAATCAATCAGTAACCATTTCGAAAAGGACCGAATCATTTCAATCAATCGTTCATTTCAATAGTTTTTGATACCAATATAAACGGCAATAGTCACTGAATCCGAACAGTTCTATTCAGTTTTCATTTTATTATTTTTCGACTTCTTATATATATAAACCTATAGCTTATCGATTGGCCGCGAGTACAGCACCAAGAAGTTATTCTTCTTCCTTTCCTCGCGGTATTAAATTCTTGAACTTAACTGGCCATCTATATCCGCCAGCGCCCTTAGGCGCATGCTCCACTAAAAATCACGGTGAAGCGCTAAATGGTCGCTCTCATCGTGTTGTTCAAAAAGTGCCGTTGAACGCATCAGGTCATACGCGTGGTGATCAACAAATTTCCTCACCACTCGAGGCACAGAGGACGCAGCACGGGCCGGGCCCTCCGGAAGGAAGACCAAAAGCGAGGTTGGGTCAGTTAAGTAATCAAAAATCTTTTGATCCTGTCACAAGTCCGAACGACCGATTCAGATTCATTTGAATTTGAATTATTGTTGTGTTTATATGTTATGTTTTCTGTTCTAGTTAATATAATATTTAGCTGTGTTCTGTTTTTTATTGATCATGATTTTATAAAAATTGTACCAGTAATACATTAATTTTTTTAAATTAAATACCTGTGTGGAAATAGATATTTCATTCAATATTCAATTCAACACATAAGCAAATTTACCAATCGATGTCGCAACTCAATTCTATAGAATAATTTTAACAATACTCTCATTCCTTTTCCGTGGCCTGTCTCATTTATGCATTTAAATCTTAAACCATCCAAATGAATTGTATTCCGGCGAATTCGATTTGTTTTGGTACGGTCGGTCGATTGGTCCTGTATTCGGTCACTTCAGTCCGGTCATGGCGGCAGCGAGAGCGAGAGCGAACAAGGTGATCGAATCGTTACGAACAAGCGGGATTCGGTCGTTCGGTCGTGATTGACACAACTCTACTCCCCAGTCGCCGTCTTGATATGACAACGTGCAGAAGCTATTTAAAAACCCTCCCGAATTAACACGCAAATTGTTCGCGTTTGTACAAGCCTGCAAATAAAATCATTTTGTTCCCGCACGAACAATGGGGTTTCGCAGTAACGTTCACCATGGAGAGAACTCTACAGAATTCAGCGATTGCAGAACTTTTGCAAAATGGTATCCGAAAATATCAACATATCTCTCTCTCATTTTAAAAACTACCCACTGGCTAAACATGTATAATCGAAGATTTTTGCACTCTGCAATCTTATTTTTCAAAATTATAACAAACAGAAGTCCAATGTATTTGAGCCAATTACTGCGTCTTAGAACATATGTACATACGTTAAACCTTCGTTTCTGGGGTAGGCTTACCCGCCTTAAACACAATTTTAAACTATTCAAAAGTCCTTCTCTTAAGCAGTTATAATACGAGTTCCTGCTAAAACACTGCAATTAAAAAATGAGTTTACCTTTAAAAGAGTAGCAATTGAAATTAAACTTAACAAATTAAGAAATGTACCAATAGAAATAAATACAAATTTTAGGCTTTTTCTCATGCATTCTACAATATTTCTGGCACCTTATATTTTATCATATGTTTTCCTTTTATTTTACATATCTTCTCGGGGTTGAAGTTAAGGTGTGTAAGTATCCACTTTTACCAATATCCACGATTATTCGATTGATCTGAATTTTATTTATCCCAAAGATAATCTTGTGGCAACAAATTTTAACTATGATTTCTGGCATATGACCGCCATGGCTGGCGCGGATGTAGTCCAATCTGGACGTCCAATTTTCGATGACTTTTTCCAACATTTAGTAGAGTAGAAAAAGTAATAAAGCAATCAAAACTAACAAAAACTTGGGGAACGAATCCTAAGCAGATATACTGGCTTTACACGATGGTCATAATGCATATGAACACGTATGGCTGCGAGGTCTGGGGGCGCAAAATACCGTCGACCCAGACCCAGGCGAAAATTGCTAGGCTACAGGGGCATACCCGGCTACGACGGCCACAGAAACCCTAAGGAGGCAACGCTCGCTCTATATCTATCTGGAGAGAGGGAGAGAAAGGTAACGTGGGCTAGCTTCAGACTTTTTCAAACGGCTTCTATCCTCACTTTTCGAAGAAGCTTGAAAAAATTAGGGTTGCCATTTATATGAAGCACCAAAAGTCCAAAGTATCAATCGGTCTTGGTATATTGGTATATGAGCACTGGATTGAGATCTGTAAAGTAACACTGATTTGGACACTAGGACATAGTGAATTGGAAGGTAACGAAAAAGTCAACCTCCTAGCTCATCTCACGCTAATTGGCAAAGTCTGGATTGAAGCGGAAAATTTCACATACTGGCCGCGATTACCAGGGTTGGCTCATTCCAAGATAGTGATAGAAAGAAAGAAAGAAAGGAATGCACGACCGACAATCAACAGATCAAATATGAAAATTTTCCTATCCATATTGTAGCCTTAAATACCATCGGCATCGTCAGTGATGACGAATACCGGTTATACTTGGAAGATGAGGAACACGGAGAGCATATACTGTGCAGATGCAGGTCCTGCAGGTGGGAAGTATCAGGTATTCGATACTGGGAGCCGGAGCCCTCAGATTTCAGTATCTAAATAAGTTATGGTCTGTTCATAGATAAGAAAGTGACCAAATGCTTTTGAATGGGTCATTAACATACAATGCAACAAGATTATTACCCAAAGTTTCGGAATTTTAATTCAGGTAAAATTGTTGTCCGTAATAGGACATAATTTTATACCTACCTGTGTTTAATATTCTTTGGTTTGGTATACTATTTAGTTTAAGTTTATTAGTAATCATTCTTATTTCGTGTGTAATACAGCCTGTGTTGAATCGTGTGCGAATTATGCAAAATATGTGCGAGTCTAGTGTATCTCAGGAGATGCTCCCGCCCAAATTTAGAAAACACAATTCTATTCAGAATAAGGAAGTTATAAACAATGTTTATTTCACTCTCATTGAACGTGGTGCCAGAAAGCAAGCATCTTAAGAAGAAACGGCCACATTGACGAAAATTCCAACATCAACTGTATGGACAATTGTGAATAATCCCATTTCAGCGAGGAAAAAAAGAAGCGATGCTGATATTTTCTCGAGTGTAGATGAAAGTGCTCAAGATATAATACGGCGTAAAATTTACCAGTTATACGAGGAACAAAGCGTGCCTACATTAGATATCTTAATTAGGAGGCTGAAAAAGATGAAACCGGTGTTAAATGTGGCAGAACTACCTTATGGAAGTGTATTAACACATGGGTTTTAGATTTTAAAAAATTGACAAAAGGCGAGTTTTAATGGAATCTTCTGGAACTCGTTTTACAGAGAACAAAGGCCAATTATTTACTTGGATGAAACCTGGTTCGGCACTTATGATAGCCCGGAAAAGGGTTGGGTTGACTCAACTGATAAGTGTAAAACAAACGCACCATCAATAAGAGGTAAAAAAATAACTATTTTGCATGCTGGCTCTAAATATGGTTGGATTCCAAATGGACTTTCTCTGTCTGCGAAAAATATTAAAGATTCTTCTCAGGATTACCATAAAGACACCACCGCTGATTTATTTGAAAGTTGGTTTAAAAACAAACTAGTTCCAAATATTCATGTGTTTTCACGAAGATTATACCAAAAAGCAATTAATTGAGGTTCTACAAAGCTTGAATCTACAAAAGGAATACGTCTGTGATAATTATGCAAAAAATCTAGGGCATACAGTTTTCAATCTACCATTCGTCGTAACAATGTTTTTCCCCGTGTTAATTCCAATGTCTTCAAACTTATGGAAACCGAAGTTTTTAACATCCCTCCACAAAGTTGGGCAAATTCTGTTAAACATATAGAAAAAGCAAAACAATCGTATATCCATATTGCAAATAATATAGAACAAATAATAATTAGAACAGGCGATGATAGCAATAGTGATACTAATATATTATGTGAATAAATTTAAGTAATTTAAGTAGGTAATAAAAATAATTTGTAATTTTATTTTAGATTTTAACATAAATGCATACATAAATAAATAAATACTGTTTCGTATCTTTCCTAACAAAACCCCAAATAATAAAATTCTAAGCAAAGTACGGACCTGTTCGGCCATATTTCATTCTTACAGCTTGCCCGGGTCTTTCCTTAATTCGTATCAGTTAGTCACTTTCTTATATCTATGAACGGACTTTACCCCTTCACACTTTGTAAGAAGGTTCAGACTTTGGAGTGTGTCGCAATAAATCATTTGATCGCAATAGACGGCCAGAACATCGTCAGCCTCCTAATCGTAATTTAGCCTAATCCTACACCCTACATTAACGTGATGTATATATAGTGCGTTCTATCGGGCTATTTACCTCGTCTTTGGCGGCGGTGCTGTCGGCGGTCTCCAGAAAGTAGATGTCCGTGTGCGGCGAACAGCCGATTATCCGGCCTTTCATCGCTGAAAGAAAAACGACAAGCATGCCGTTACTGTCATTGACGTGCGCGCTACAAAAATCGGAAACGACAAGGAGAAAATTCCCGACGTATTTCGGGCTCCGCGCGATAACGCTTTCTCCATTTTCCTTGAAAGGAGGAAATTGGTTAAGCCCCCCACCGGTAATCTTGCTCTATTGACGTTTGAAAATAGGGGGGCGGCGGGGCCCGTTGAAACCCGAAGCGCCGATAATCCGTAATTTAATTTGGCCGCCGCCCCCCTTTTTGATCCGGACACCTGTCAAACAAGGTTATGGGCTATGTTATCGCCCGAGACGATTATCACTGGATATAAATTAAAAATATATATAAAAAAAGAACATTATAATTAAGCATTCTGAACTTAAACGCAATTATTGTTGTGAAGTTTAGTTGTTTTTCTTTTAATAATACTGTAAGTCTAAGTTTATTTTATCCTGAGGAGAATACTGACTGGACAACAAAAGCAAAAAGCTTGGAATAGAATTTCCACTTACTGGAAAATTTGCAGTAATTTTGTTATGGTTTTAAAGTGAACATTTTGAAATCACCTGAATTTAAATGAATAGGATATCTTTAACTTTTAACGAAATAAAGATATATTTTTTGTTTAAATATTACATGTCGTGACGGGTGATAGGTTTAACCCAATACATAAAATTATTTCCGGTATAGAAAAATAATCTATAAAACAGAAAAATAGCACGCATACACTCAGTGAACACAGTAGGGCCTTATGGTGCCTAATTTGTTTGCTACCGTCAAATATCTACCTATACTAATTCTTATTTAAAGTTTCAGTAATCGTTTTAATCAAGCTTAATAATAAATATTTTTGAAATTAGTTGGGCATAACGGTTAAACAGTCAAAATCATTATTATGCTTGTAGAAAAATATTTGTAAAACTTTTCTTATACTCGATAATTTTCGTTTACTTTATTTTCCACATGAAAAACCAACCGAATAAATTTTACTTTCAGCCATTTTAATGATGATAATTGAAATTACTGAGAGCTTTAAAGAATGACAATACACAATATTAATAATATATGTGTTGCAGACACTGAACATTCGACAACTGTACGGTATGATCTGATATAATTAGTGCTGCCACCTACACTACGTACTGATCATCATTTTAAAATTTGAAATCCATAGAAATTAAAAACTGACTATTAATTAGGATAAAATTTTTAAGAAATTATATTGATAAAAAAATATTAGAAGCTATTTCTGAAAATTTCAAAATTTAGTAATTTTTAAATGACTGTAATTAATATTCTTTTAATGATAATCATACCTTGTTATACGGTTTCGCAAAGCTTAAAGATTCAACTTTAACAATATAAATTGGTTTTTTGTAAAAAATCGCGAACATTATACATAAATTTAATTTTAGTGAAAAAATAATTTTTCCCATATTAACTAAATGGGAAACTAAAAATACCGACCCTTTACAGTTGAGGTAAAGGGCTCATCTTTGGTGAGGATTTTTTTTATATCACAAAGACACATTTGAGAGGGTAAGAGCTAAAAAAAAAATTAAATTTTTGTTGGTTTTGCAAAGCTCAAAGACTCAACTTTAACAATATAAATTGGTTTTTTGTAAAAAATCTCGAACGTTACACGTAAATTTAATTTTAGTAAAAAAAGAATTTTTCCCATGTTAATTAAATCGGAAACTAAAATAAAAATAGCGACCCCTAGAGTAGAGCTAAAGGGCTGATCTTTGGTGAGGATTTTTTTTATATCAAAGAGAAAAATTTGAGAGGGTAAGAGCTAAAAAAAAATTAAAAAATTGTACTAATAATAATCGAGGAATTTCACCGATGAAACTCAAACACAAATTTGTATGCACGTACCGAAGTACGGCTCTGGAACGTAATTGTGGAATTGCGAATCTATTTATTGAGGGTTACAAAGAGAAACCCAAGCGAGGTAGGCCTGCGGTTAAACCATAAAAATTTACCAAAGTTTAATACCGAATCATCTCGTAAAAACGGTATATAGTTTGGTGAACTAGACCTCTTTCACGCGGAGTTAATCGGCTGCGCCCTAGTGGTGCACAGCCTATATGTGCAGTTGTTGCCCACTCCATGAATCTTTTTGAAAAGGTAATTTCAAGTACTTCAATTATTTAAAAATAAGCAGGATGTTTTATTATTTTACCTCTACAAGATATAGTTGTTGTCCAGAACTTTTTGTCCACCATAACTATCGATTGCGGTGTTCCTTTAAAATGGTAATGGGTTGCTCCAACCCGGATTTTAATTTTCCTTTTCGCGTTAAATAACGAAATTTTTCCAGAAAATCGTTTCAAGATGTAAATCGCCTCAAAAAAGCGCTCGCCGCGTTAAACTTTCAACTGGCTGAGGGGCAATAAATTGGTTGTGAGATAACATTCCTCCCGACACTCGCCGGCGTCCTAACCGACTCTGAATTCTACACCACCGCTTTGGAAGATAATTAAAAGTTGATGAATAAATACGACGACGACGTTTTTGAGGACGATAAATTTTATTCGACGACTGGCTTTCTTGCGCCCTTTAGCGTAATTCAATACCTACAATTGCCTACAAATAAATATCTTTCGAATAAAAAACAGTGAGGGTAATTCAGAATATACGGCATAAACTGAAATATGTGGCATATTTCATCATTCTAAGCATAAATCTGACCTAGGTCAGCCCCGGAGCTATAATATAATATATAATTGAAATATCTTGGTGAATTTTAAAGATATATCTAGATCTAGAAGATCATCAGTTTAAGTATATTAGATACTCTCAAAATGTACAGGGTGATACATTTTTGGGAGTAAAGGCTTGTTTATTTCCAAGAAACAAACCGTTTTCACGATAAATAAGCATATGAGATCTAAAACATATTAATTTTGTGTGTTTGTCATCAAAACGTACTTTAAAAGCTTTGTCTGTTGATCAAAAATTCAAGGTTTTAAAAGAAGTGGAAAGTGGCTCAAAAAATAAAGATGTAGCTGTGAAGTATGGAATTTCGGCAAGTACAGTGTCTACAATTTTAAAAAATAAACATTCAGTCATCACCGCAATGGAACGTTTCGATGAAAACAAAAACAATAGCATTACACTAATGGATTGTGTTGACGACGTAACTACCGCATGGAATATCGACATTAAGCCTCAAACAATTTCCAATTGTTTTAAAAAAGGCGGTTTTGGTTTTGGAAAAGAGTGAAGACGAAATCCAAATAGAAATCGAGTTTAAAGCTTGGACAAACATTAGAGGTATAGCAGAAGGTAGCACCATCAACGATTTTATACATGTGGATGAGGATATTGTTACTTTAGAGTTTCCTACTGATGAAGATATTATCGAGTCCTGCAGATCCAAACCGGTTAAACATCGAAGATGACTGCGAAAGTGACACGATGGAGGATGAATTGGAAGATAATTCTCAGCAACCACCTTCAAATGAATTGGTTGAAAATTCGTTGATTGTCTTGCGTTCCTATTTGAAAACCACTGAATACACAACCGATTTCCTCTATGATTGTTTAAATAAAATTGAAGCTTTTGTTGAAAACCCAAATAAGAAATCCGGTCGTCAGTCACAAATAACTGACTTTTTTCCAGTGAAAGAGTAAACTTTAATATGTACATACATATGTATGTATATTTGCACACATACTATGTTTATATATACTGGGTACATATACAATACAATTGTATGTACATATATTATGTAAATACATACATACATATATACTACTATTTCATAATTTTCGTTTTTTGTTCAAAAATCATAGACTAATGGCAAGTTAATACACACTGGTGGCCTCAAAATAAATGCTAGTTTCTGTGGATTATTTGGCATATTTGGCTTAGGTAGACACGCAATTGTCAAGCAATTCGATTGAACTGTAGGTTGTTTTGCCGTATTTGTTATTTAGCGCGACCATACTAAACGTAGCTTTGACTAGAAATTTTTTTATCAATCTTAATGAATTTTCTTGCTATTTTTTGTACATATTGTTCGGGAAAAATAAGCGAATTCATCAAAACTTTATTTGAGTAGTTCTTCATTTTCGCCATTTCGGAGACTTTTACGATATAGCTATAATCCGTCAAATGTCAAGTTTTCTAAATGTTCAATCGAATTGATTTACAATTTCAGGACTATCCTAAAGTGAATATACCAATTAATGCAATTTTTATAGAAACTTTCTTTTATTTCGGAGTCCTTAATATTTAGGTACAGGATCATTGACATATCAAAATAGTTGATAAAATGTTCAGTTTGAAAAAATCGCACCCCCGTGTATTACAGGATGAACTAATCTACATAAAACTATTGCATGAGATCTTCGCGAGCCATATCCAAAATTTCAATTCCCTGCGAATTCAAATATGGCTGTAATAGAGACTTAATTGGAACTATGTTTTGAAAAAAGAATAGGCAAATAAATAATTTCTTTAGCAAGTATTATGCAAAAACAACTGGAAATTGATGATGATCGGAAAATTCAATAGTATACAGGGTGTCGCAAATATCAAATTTCAAAGTTGATGCTACTTTTTCGAACGTCGCAGCGCTGAAAATATATTACTTCGGTAGATCGTGCTCACTTATATAAACGATCCAATATTTTGGGAGGTATATACGAGCCTTAACAACGGGCAATGTAAAAAATTCAATCAATTTACGCAATTATTTTTTATTTCGCATGACTTACATTACGGAAACATTCCAAATTTTCTGACAAATAAATATTCGGACGCGAATGTTTATTGATGGTAAAATGTAGTGTGCTTAGATAAATAAGATGTCAGTTCGGGTTGTATCTTTCAAGTTTGTATAATAGTTGATAAGAAAATGACGCGTGGTGTTGCAACAAACAAAAAAGTTCGAGAAATTATCATATCTCAGTACTGCAGAGGTAAATCAAAGCAAAAAATTTCAAATGACTTGAGTATCACAAAACCAACAGTCGGGGATATTATAAAAA